CAGTCCATCCATGGAGAGCTCTCATAGAGTACAGCCCTACACTTCTGCGCTCTGAATCGAGAACCCAGCCCATCCATGGAGAGCTCTCATGAGGGCGCCCAGATATGAAAAGCATCAACATCACCAAAACCACAGAAGTCAATACTTAGACAGCTGGCTCCCACTCAAGTCAATACTTCACAAACCGCTCAGCTGCCTACTACGTCTTACCAGAATCAATGAGGCGAGCCCATAGAGATCAGAAGACCCAACACCGCGCCACTAGTCATCACCAGAGGGTCTGCACTAGTCACCAGAAAGATGGATCATAACACAGCGCGCACCATCTTGGTCCCGTGGACGTCTCTACCCATTTAATTTGGACCAGTCCGAGAGCTGTCGCCGAGAGGTTGCTGCACTATAGACGCAACTTGCTGAACTATCGACATCACTCGCGGAACAATCAAGACGACTCTCGCTGCCGAACCGTCGCAGAATGTACCGCGCTGAACTATCAGCAGATCTCTCTGAACTATCAACAGAACTTCCTGAACTATCGACGGAACTTGCTGAACTATCGACAGAACCTGCCGAACTATCAGCAGGACCTCCTGAACTATCAACAGAACTTGCTGAACTATCAACAGAACTTGCTGAACTATCGGCAGAACTTACTGAACCATCAGCAGAACTTACTGAACTATCAGCAGAACTTGCTGAACTATCAGCAGAACTTACTGAACTATCAGCAAAACTCACTTACTGAACTATCGGCAAAGCCTACTGAACTATCAGCAGAACTTGCTGAGCTATCGGCTGCAAAACTTACTGAACTATCAGCAGAACTTGCTGAGCTATCGACGTAGCCTGCTGAGGTATGGCGCTGACGGGCGGCGTGGTTAAGTAAAATTACGCCCAGACGCTGGGGAGGCGAGAGATGCCCTCAGGTGCCATCGCTGCAACGGACAAACTTACTAGAACAAGAAATGACACAGCTGGGATTTGGCCCCGAGTCCTGGAGAACGGAAACAAGCGCGCTACCAGCTGAGCTACTTCGTAGCTAGCCTATGGAATGACTTACTTCGTCTAAACGTCTCGGGCTTCAGTCTTCGCAAGAAAATGCTGCCGCTAGTCTTCGCAGGAATAGCTGCGCCAGCGTATTTTCAGACGATGAAGATTGTAGCGAACCTTGCTAACCACTGCGCCAGTTTTACTGTCTTCAGAGTAAGGCCCGAAGATCACGGTATCAGCGCACGAAGATGATCCAGACAGAATAAGCAAGTAACTTCCCTAGGGCCATGCGCCAGAGATCTTGACCGAGATGGGCTGAGAACTAGCAAGACAAGGGCTACGACTCTACGTGGATTCACAGCGTCACATGCTGAATTTGCGTCATTGATGTCTTCGAGACTAGAGCCTTCAGGGATTGGCTAGAACTTTTTCCAGCAAGTGAATGTCTTGACCATTAGACCAAGCCAGCAGCTGATATGTTGAGATGACACGATCGGCGTCATGTTCTAGCGGTCAAATAACGCGAGCGGCCAGAGGTGTGTCCTAGATTCAGACGCATGGTCAAGCAAGTCCCTCCCATATATAGAAGGGACACCAAGGGGAGCCAGCTCTCGACTCAAGGTTCGTCAGGATTCAGAGGGAAACCCGTCGGGCTACTAGTACGGAGGCGATTCCTCGCCTGCCATATAGAGGGAACAGGCACCAATGGAAGCGGGTTCTCGGTTCAGGGTTCAGGATTCAGATGAGTCATCGCGTCGCCTGCCATATAGAAGGAACATCAGGGGAAGCGGGTGCTCGGTTCAGGGTTCAGGATTCAGATGAGGCATCGCGTCGCCTGCCATATAGAGGGAACATCAAGGGAAGCGGGTTCTCGGTTCAGGGTTCAGGATTCAGATGAGACATAGCGCCGCCTGCCATATAGAGGGAACATCAACGGAAGCGGGCTCTCGGTTCAGGGTTCAGGATTCAGATGAGACATCGCGTCGCCTGCCATATAGAAGGGACACCAAGGCGAGCCCGTTCTCGATTCAGGGTTCAGGATTCAGATGACCAATCAAGTCCCTCCCATATAGAAGGGACACCAGGGGAGAGCCCGTTCTCGATTCAGGGTTCAGGATTCAGATGACTAATCAAGTCCCTCCCATATAGAAGGGACACCAAAGAGAGCCGGCTCTCGATTCAGGGTTCAGGATTCAGAGGGAAACCCGTCGGGCTACTAGTACGGCAGCCCTCTCGGAGAGTTGGAGCCTCGGGCTTTTAAAGTGCTAAACACCTCTAGAGTTTTCTTATTCATGTGGGTGCCTAGTAGTAGTAGTAGTAGTAGTAGTAGTAGTAGTAGTAGTAGTAGTAGTAGCCGTAGTAGTAATATGCCCAGTCTTCAGGTATAAAAGATAGAGACAACATTATGCTATTACCTGGCGAATGGTGAGAGGAGAAACACAAGCAGCATTATGCTATAATAAGTGGCGGGGGTGCATGGTGGTAGCATTTCGAGGAGTGGCAAGCAATTCCAACCTAGACAAAAGATGAATGTTGCCTGTTGTGGAAGCATGACAGTAATGAAAACTATTACACAGAGTCCGCTTATATATAACAGCAGCCTGTGAATCTGAATCACTACGAACCTCTTTACAGTGTGCGCTAGTCCCCTGTATTTCTGGTCGAGGATTTATTAAATCCTCGACTACTATCTTGATTGAAATGCGCATGCATAGCCTGTAAACCGACTGGCTCCACACGCAGTACTACGCTTAGTAGTTGTCGCGAGTAGTGACATGAGGTCAGAGCGGTCAACTCCAGTGTCAGTTCGCGACTGCACACTGGTAGTTTGACTTCGAGTGGCCTCCGGAATAACTCCTGTGATTATGATTTTTTTACATTACATTCAAACTGTGAAGAGTGAATCCCTATTGAATACGTATCTTCTGACGGGAAACACAAAGGAAACAAAACTGCGTCCAATATGCAAGAATTAGAACTACCATAAATCCATCTTGAGTTTCATCTTGGTCGCTGTTTATTCCCTGTAGAAAAACGGGAGGACCAAAGTAATCTGGGGAAAATGGATTTCCTGCAGGCTTAAAAGAAGTCCTCTTCCCTATAGAACAAGAAGTAGTACGCATCCGCTGGGAGCTTTTGCGTGAGTGATAGTACTGAGTGTAGTCCGCCGCCTTCGTCATAAGCGGTGGCGCAGCGGCTGCTTCCTCCGACGCCCGTAGAAAAGATTGTAACTGAAAATATTCTTGGTGGTAAAAGCAAACACGGCTACGTCGCAGGGTTTCGATAAACCAAAAAGATCCATCTTCTAAGTCGCATAGTCATTGATGGACGAGTAACTCTTTTTCATTGACTAGCACGTGTGATATGAAGAAGAAGAAAAACTCATAGATGTAAAACTAAAAGGGCAGTTCCGTAGTATACTCAGTACCATTCCTGGCTTGATATCCTTCCACGAACCAAGCATAACACCAGTTTCGCCTTCATGTCCCTTCGTGGGCTCCTGCATTTTTTCGACAGTTACATGGTCAGCAGTCAACCAAAGTCATCGGATAGGATAGGATAGGATAGGATAGGATAGGATAGGATAGGATAGGATAGGATAGGTTAGGATAGGATCGAATAGGATACCTTAGCTATGCCTTCGCACAAGGTGCCGACAGTAGCGTGAAAGTCAGTGGATGAGGCGAATAAGGCGATGGAAACTGCGCGACCTATTTTGATTTTCTTGAAATTATGCTTTTAGCTTTTATTAGGTCACTTATAGTATACACAGCGTAGCGCATGAGTCTCGCGTAGTCAGACATACTTATAAATATGATAACGATGAGATACCCATTCAGTGAACACGGGATTATGATTAAGATAAATATGTATCTCTACGTCGGAATCTTTCATGCCCAGCTTCGCTGCCAGATCGTCGACGGTGAATCCCTCTACGGGTTTTGTAGACTGAGACCGCACATGCAGCCGCTGCATCTCCTCTCAAGTATGAAGAGTAGCAGCAGTAGTAGCGTACCCATTCAATAGTAGAGTAGTAGTGCTGCAGTAGTAGGCATCATCATCATGGTGTCGTCCCATACACAAACAATCTGAATCCCAACGAACCATCTAGGATAGGCGCCGAGAGAGATGAGCAGGCACAGTCTGCCTGAAGAGACAAACAATTATCAATAGTGGAAAAACGAAGCTGAGAGCCTTCGGAAGATGAGCAAATTTAATTACAAGAACTTGCACTATAAACATTTTCAATCATCTACTAGCTCTATCCGAGATGCATAAAACCACCGCGCCTGAGAAGCCGCTTCATCGCAGGAGAATAAGATAACTTTCAATCCTCGTTGCTGGAAATCTTTCTTCCTCGCGCCCATCGCCGTGCTTAGATGAGCTTGATAAAAAATTTGCCTCAACCTACAGTCTAGGTCTAAGGGCTCGACCTTTTCTTCGGATAGAATAGGGAGAGTGTCGCCAGCATTTACAGTTTGATCACCACTATAGTGTCCCATTTAGTACTACTCGCCTTAGTCTAATGCTGAGACAAAACGGTTTATCCAGTTCCTCTACAGACTTCACCAACTCCCTATTAACCAACCAACCATAGTTCTTCTACAGACTTCACCAACTCTAGCTAACGCTTCTAGATCACAAGCTAGATCACATCCATAACAGGATCTCTGTAGAGCAGATACAGGTGAAGGCGGCTGGATGACAGCAGAAGAGAGTCCGTTAAAGGCTGCAGCATATTTACACTTTTCACAATATCTTTCCCCGCTGGGGACTAATACTCCCACAAGTTTGAGCTTCCTAGTAGGCTTGGCCCTACTAGGAGTCTGCTAGGAAATATAACACCTCTTTCTTAATACACCGTATGAGTTTACTTAGTAGAGGAGGCTAAATAACCTATTATGGGAACACAGACGGAGACAACTACTAACCCTATAGCCAACGAAGGTCATGGCGAATTGCCCTGATCAGCACTCCGAAACTATCGACAGGACGTCTTAATGCCAGACTTCCTGAAACAAAGGGTCGCCTTACATAGATACTACAAAAAGCCTTAAGTCCATGCACATTTCGTTCGAAAGGTTTCGTACTCCAGGAAGTCGTGAAACGTAGTAAAGAAGCCCTCAGTCGTTTGAAGGGGTCCAAAATTCGGAAAAACCTGAAACGGCGCAGAACTTATTAGCAATAGTGGTAGCCGTGTACTAGCCAGTGACACAGTATTAGCAGTAGCGTTGCGCCCGGATTGCTTATGAAGGCACGATAGAAGCTTCTCTCATCTCTGTAAAGTCAGCAAACTACGTAAGCAGTTCTTGCAGTCAACGTTTTGCGACCACTACCGCAGAACATCAAAGGAAAAAAAAGTTTGCATACAAACACAAATCCATAAAGAAAATGGAAATACTTAGTTAAACCAGTTTGGTCCTACGAAGATGGGGGCCACCACGATGATGTGGGAAAGAAATTATCGTCAAACTATGAAAAGTGAAGTACTTCATGAAGGCGAATCGCGTGTTCGAGTTCTTTGGCTCGGAATTTCCCATTGCAATGCGGACACTTCTGTATTGGTACAAATGAAAGCGAACTATACGAAGATGGTTTATGTTGACCGAGCAAAAAAAATATGAAAAACTGAGTGAATGTACTACCCAGTCGTGGCGACTGACAAAAAGTTTAATTGGCTTGAAATTGAGTCTACTCATGTGGTAAGGTGCCTAAGATCATTTCCCTGACGGTTTACTACCTTACGCGGTGCATAGCTGTGTCCCTGATCTAGTTTTTATGCAGAACCCTCCTGCTCATCACCAAGTCGGACCTCTCCTCGGGATTTCATCAACACGGTTGCTTCATTCAAGTACTTACTCATTCATCTTCTAAGTGCTAACTCGACCTCCGTTGCTTCAAAACTTATATTGATAGCTAAGTACAACTTCCTGTAGTTTTTACTCAGTCTTCTCCTCGAAGTCTGGACTTGGAATAGTACTTATTTTTGTATATAGGAGTTTTCATAGAGCGAGTTGCTGCCTCCTGCCGGGATTCTGTTGGGGCTCCTCACCCTCAGGTTCCGCATCCTCCTCGGGTATTAGAATGAGCTGTCGATTTTCAAGTCATAAGAATCTTCAAAGTGAGAGCGAGGGTCAATCATACTTCTAGACAAGAAGTGGCGCATCTCTTGTTTACCTGCTCTTCCTCTTCCTACTTTACTATATTTTACTTTACTTTGAAGGGAACACTCGAACCCCTTTTCCAGCTTCTATCGTTTTTTTTGATAACGATGATATACCCAGCACGGGGCTTCTTCGTTCACTCCTTCTCTCTGTGACTAGCTAGTTTTTAATTAAATGTCAAGATTAGTAATGCTGGGTTAACGACCACTTCTACCGCTAGTAGTGAAGGGTGTTATTTTTTGACAAAAGTACGATACGGAATGGATTAGTTACGTTTCAGCAGATGGTAGTGAATGAATTTGCTCAGTCGTGCTGTATCTCCTCGGGCTAGTACAATACTGAGATGTCTTGCCGAGTAGCTAGATATCTTGCCGATACTGAGATGTATTGCCGATACTGAGATGTATCTCCTCGGGCTAGTACTCTACGAGTAGTAGTGGTTGGTAGTGGTTGTTTACTAGTACCCGTTCATGGGGTAAAAAGGGAGTTTAACTCTTCATGCAAGCACGAGAAAAATCACAACATAAAAGCAAGCTGGCTGGCTTCGCTGGCATTTCCACTTCGTGTTCGTCGTCCCATAATGAAGGCAACATAACGACTATGATCGACATGGTGGCGACAATGATTATGCTCACGATCATGAAGATGGTCCGTGAACATGATTGATGCGAATATTAATCTCTATGAAGACGATTGCAATGTTGTCCGCGAAGGACAAATGGGCTTAAGGAGGAGGAGGAGGAGGAGGAGGAAGAGAAAGCACTGATGGGGAGAATTCAAAGTTTAGGATCACGATAGTCTTAATACGGATGATGACCGGCTGCCGAGCTCCGAAAATGATCCATGCCTCTCCGGATCCTCCGTCGATGGCCGACTTTAGCGATGACGCATACCCTCTAATTTAACTTCGAACCCTTCTCCAAATTACGAGTCAATCTCTGGGCTACCGGTCTGTCCAAATGATTTTTTGATATGAACCTGACATAAGCAATCTCGTTGGCCTTCTCTGTTGGGGAGAGCATATCGTCAACGTTCGGAAGATCGTCGAATACTGGAAAATTCTCCATCTTTTTCTATTACTGTATTAGATAGAGCGAAGCCCTAGGCTATATTTTCACACTTTTTATTATTCCGCAGCTAGCTGTGCGAAATTGTGGCACTGTGCTGCTGCTAGTGAGTTGTGGACACCGTGAGGCCCCGCGGCGCCAAGGTGTGGACACTGTGGCGCTGCGCTGTGGCACTCCTGGCTTTGGCTGTGACGTTGTGAATGAATGTGAAAAAAGCATAGGGCTCTTTTTTACGTAACTGTCTAATTATAAGTATCTGTAAACATACAAGAAGGAACTGTCTAAAAAGGATCTTCGTTAGTTGGTATTTACAACTTGCTGTAAATCGATCCTACTTCAACTTCTTCTAGAAGATGTTTTTAGAAACCGTAGGCAGCCAGGCTGAAGACAAAAAGTGCCGGATCTCTTAATTGCAGTTGGTGTTCGATCTCCGAAGAGCAGAGTCCATTCGCAGTTAGGGTTGTAACGGCGTTACAGAAGCACGAGACTTTATACTCGTGGTGTCGCGAAAGAAGCGCCCACCGCTGCGCAGCAAGAGTAGGAGACAGGATTCCTCCAATGAGAACGAAGCAAGAGACCTAACGGTGTGCCTTTGCTTCACCTCCAGGGATCTAATATTGCCTGAAAATGTCCGTGATGTTTCTGCTGCTTAGTTGTACTAGTTGTCCTCACCAGATGAATTATAATCATCGGAAGTGGAGGACGCCAGCCCTGGTAGAGGTGGCGCTATCAATTAGAATTATCTATCATGGTGACCAAATGCTTGGCCTACTCAAGGGTACCACAATTTTTCAACATAATCAGCGAGCACTATTCAGATTCAGATTCAGCGGTGCGTAAAATAGAATCTCACTACTTCTGTTCGGATGAAGGGTAAGGGAGTACCAATGCGAGTATAACCTGTTGCAAGTGCAATGAAAAAATCGTTACTCAACACAAGTGTCACACTTTCGTGGCTCCGGGAGTGTCCATTGTAGGAAGGGACGTTCTTTTGCTATACCTAAGCGAGCTCCTTTGTTACCATTAGAAGGTGATCAATCAAAAAGATTAAGATTCTAAGATCATGACGTAAGACTCTAAGAGAAGAGAGTCCTAGATCTGTGCAAAGCAGGTATAATGCATATTGAGCAATATAATGCATATTGTGTCAGGGAGGATAGACTCACTTTACTGCATCACCCGTGCGTCTCAGTCACGGGAATTCTCAACTATCAGCAAGACAAAATTTTAACTAAGTTGTCGAGTGCTACTCTCAAGACAACTCCTACGAATATGGACGTGACAAGCCGTGCAAAATGTGGCTAAACATCTCAGGAAAAAAAAGCAAAGACATGCACAGATTCGTTCTGTGGAGAATTCATGACAGAGATCTTCCAAATTCTCAGCCAATAGAACGTGGTCGCTCTCTCAACACTCAGTCATCGCCTTAAGCATGATCGACTTTAAACGTCAAACCGAAAAGAGAACAGATCCGTTAGATTGATGTTGGACGGACATAAAATAGAGCATACAAAAGTTGGATTTCATGGGTGAAAATTTTTCACCGATTTTGAAACGACCTCCTTTATACAATGGACGAGGAACAAGTGAAACAGCAGTAGGCGCATTTCGCATAAAAAGCCCCTCCAAAGCACTTTCGTCGATCTTCTCGCGCTAAAATCAACAATTATTTGTCCTTCGTGACACCACTTTGCATTCAAAGCAAAGCCTACTGCTTTGGTGCGTCATCTACAGAAACACGAAGATAGTCGTTCGGTTGTTGTATCATCATAGAAAGCACATACACATACTCGAACAGTGTTTGACGTCATCCTTGTGACGAGTAAGTGTGATTTGCTTGGGGAACAAGATCGTTGTTGTGTTGATGTAATTTACGCACGCCCGGCAGCACCAACTCCAGGTATATGCTGGCTTTTTCATAGTGATAAGTACAATCCATGAGTCATTTGGAGATTCAAATTGAGAGACATCTTCCTCTGGAATAACAACACCACAATAACAATCGCCCTATCCAGCACTTGGCGTCCTCTCCATGCTTCAATCTTGAGATAACATCTTGCGTCTACGGCTCCCAGATACATGCCTAGTACCCCACAGTTCAATACTTGGCTAGTGTATATTGCAGGCGCGCATCCACTTCTTGTTTCCTCTCTTGCTTACTCCTGCAAAGCCCCGTCCTACGCTCTTCATTCTCGGGACCTTAGCGCGCCTTGACTGCAGCCAGGTACTTTTTCCAGCTGTTGGCCCACTCGTCCACTTGGGCTTTGTGATTCTTCCAATAGAAGTAGGGATAAGCACCTGTAGTGTGGGGAAGTAAGTTGGTCCTAATTAAGGGACCTGTAGTGTGGGGAAATACGTTGGTCCATATTGAATAATGAAATTTGTTCCCGCTAGAAGAAGTGTTGATTGCAGTATTGATGTCGTAAGAGTGAAGATACATCGTCTAGCATAGTTCTAGATCTGCTACAAGTAACTAAAAGTAACTCGAATCTAACTATAAGTCTTTGTTTACCGCAGCTCCATTCGTTCATTTACCACCTAAATCTAGTTTTTTCTGAGGTACCATCCGTTTTTTCGTCGTATTGTTCTGAGAAAATACCATCTGTTTTTTCGTCATATTCTTTCAAGCCTTCGCGCTCATCTTCGGATTCGTCTTCCTCGCTTTTTACCTTTTTGTTTTCGTTCGCTTTTTTTAGTACCTCTGCCTGCACCGCTGCTTGTTCCTCCGCCATCACCAAGGAGGATCGATGAGCTTCCTTCTCTGTTATTTGCATGTATAGTTGGGAGGATCAATCTTAAATAGTCTAGTAACTGTAGATAGTTGTTTGGAACAAGTACCTAGCATCAAATAGATTTGAAAGAATTTGAAGCAAAATTTTTTTCACAGGTCGAAAAATCATGGGATCACTAGAGGATAGATTAAAGTGCCTCGACGTCGCCGATGCGCAAGGAGAGGACGAGTGAAATAACAGTATTATCCAAAACGTGTACGCGATTGATTTTCACGATGTTGGTCATGAAGGAGTGAGTGACGAAAAAAGTTAAGTGCCTTTTTTCTTTCGTGCTTCGGCTTTTTCTTTCCTTTCGATGGCTTTCTTCTCACTTTCAACTCGCTCGGCTGCAGCTTGATTCATATTGCAGAAATTGATTTCCTGCATCTTGTGAATCAGCAGTAGGAACTCTGGAAACTGGCAGCTACCTGTTGTAGGCACCATAGAAGTATGATAAAACAGCACTTCTTGATCAACATCTACGCTAAATTTGTAAATAGGTGGATGTGTAGTTGTGTCACGACAATCATCTGTACTTTTGTACTTGCGTGTGCTGCAGTCATACATGGAGGCCTGTAAGCAAAAGAAGCCTGTAAACGTACCATCTTTGTTCTCATCGCACTCGTCTAGCAGAACAGCGAGCGTGTCTTCGTCTTTCTTCTGCATCTGGATGCCCAAAGCACGGACCATTGATTTCACCAGTGGTACTGAGCATTTCCCATCACCTTTGCCAAAACTTGTATCGTAGTGGGCGTAGACCTGATGAGACCATGGGCGACGAAAGTAGATCACGCTGTACGTAGTGACAACGTTCCACCAAGAGATGATTTTCTTGCAGAACAGCGTCGTTAATACTCCTCACGACGGTCGGAGAGGACGTTGCAGATATCAGTGACATGACTACAAGGATGCATTCTACCTACAAAGGAATCACCTCCACCTCAAAGACTTATTTTAAGCAATCTTCATAACACGAAGTTAGTACCCCTTTAAATGCCAGTGCTTCTTCCTCGGAATACCCGCATCGGTTCATAGCTTCGACCTCCTCCTCGTCGAGCTCCAAATCCTCCCCGAGGCCGATCATTTTCTCGGTGTTTTCTGCCCTTAAAATGAACTTAAATCAAAATCTGTAACCACTCTAGCTTGTTGGGAAAGGCAGAAAAGATTGAGATACGTATCACCTTTCTTTTTGTAGTACTTACGACGAACTAACAAGGAAGATTTACTTTCATAAGACGCACTGCAAGAAGAAAAGTCTCAATAAATGGGAACAAGTCAGAAGATCGTTTTAACATCAAACAGTTTACAGTCAAAGACGTGGGAGGAAACGGCCAGTATGACCTGGGGGTTGATATTCGAAAGAAGGCCTGATTGCGTCAAATAAAAAATCCGCAGAGTAAATTGCAAGTCTTAAAATGTTTTTCTTGCAAAATCTTGTTTTCTTGCATGTCGCAGGTTTTTGCTGAACAATCTTTTAAGTTTAAACAAGAACGGTTTCACCTCCCTTTGTTCCCGCCGGCCAATCTGAATTCTTTTGCACTTTTTTGCAGCTCTCTTCTCAACAGAAGCTTCTCATCTTCTCACACTCTCCGGCTCTAATACACATTTCTTCGTAGGCACGAACATATAATTAAGTATTTGTCTTCGTGTTTGTTGATTAGATTAGATGAGATTAGATTAGAGTGGCTTCCGCCTCAGCCCTGCGCTATTGGAGAATCTCAGACTATGACACATCTATTTTCTCGGTCTCTCGAACGTGCAACGCTTCGGACATCACAGCCCTGGTGGAGTGTGATTTTTCTGAATGGTACCAATCCTCTGGCAACTGAACTTTTTGCATGCGAAAAAACGCCCGAACCACGGAACACGAACACACACATGTTAATGGACAGACACGATGTGTTTCATATATATTATCATCACCAAACACATTGCTAATGCGCACCCCAAGACAGTAAATAAACTTCTCTTCCCATATACTTAATCATGTTGCTGAAAGAATGCCTCGCATCAATCGGCCCCAAAAAAGACATATACACTGACGTGTTCCCGATTCTTTAAATGAAAGAAGGACCAACAAAAACCAAAAAAGATGTGATTGACATTGAATGAGATCATAAGAAGTACATCGTTTCCTCCTCTGCCCGATTTATTCACGTACCGCTCAGTCATAAGAGCCCGGAAAACTAAATGTAAATCGTCTCTCTTTTTGGCGCTGGCTTGCTTTTCCACTAAAAAAAAGCAGACCACCTTTTGTTATCCGTCACGATAGACTGTTGAAAAAGCGGAAAAACATGATGGATTTTGCTATTTTTGTGTGGATGAATCATCCCAGATCTCTAGCTGAAGAAACTCATGTCTATCACCCTCAGATAAAGGTTAGCAAAGATACAACGAGACTCGCGATCGCGCCTACGCCGCGCCTGTTGTCGTTGCACCCTTAGTTCCAGGGATGAGCGAAGAGGCCAACCATAGAAACATCATAGAGTCATCAAATAATAAAAAAAGAGCTTGTACATGGAGGCGCGGCACAAGGCAAAATTTTGTACATTAGTTACATTGAAATAATCATCATCAGGGGCACAATCGATGAACAATCATTCAAGTCATTAATATGATGTACTTTTCTTATACTAGGCCTGTTCGTTTTGTGTCTTAAACTGGCTGAAGCTGAACCTTTCCTGCAGTATTGCAGATGTCTTACGTATGCTGTAAAAGATAGCTGCTAATTTGGGTCGCTATAAATTTAGAAAATGCGACCCCTTCAGCTAAAGTCTACTGAGTATCGTGCAAAAAGTGAAACCTACAGTAGTGGTCAACTACCTCGACAACCGCTTTCTTTTGTCCTACTGTAAAAGAGGAGAACCATTATGCTGATCAAAATCAATTCTTTATACTCACATGGAATTAATATTCAGTGGGCCTCCGCAGGTTCGCTTTGTTCTTAATGCAGTGGTCTACTATATAAGCATGGGAAGATGCGTAAGCAAGTAACATTCATTCATTCATTCACGCTGCCACCACGCTTTTTTTTTTTTTGGGACCTGGGTCTATATTCCTCGCAATAAGAACATTTAAATACCCTGCGAGAATCCTGAAGCACAACGGCCAGGTAGCTAAAAATACTAGACGACGAAGCACAACGGCCATCGCCGCAGAAAAGCTAGAGCCGAAACCCCACGGGCAAATTAATCAACGGCTCATAAGTAGAACAATGATGGAGCATTTCTGATGAACCCCGCGAGCCAAGACCTAAACCCTGCAACAAAAGAACACGGAAAAAGCTAGAACTTTGATGTGGCCATTTGCTAGCTAGGATCTGAAGCTTCAAGCTGTGGACACTCGGCACAGAGGGCGGCGCCACTACTGAGATCGAACTTTTTTAAAGTGAGGCGGCCCGCGAATAATCACTGAAATATCTTCAGATACGTCGTCGCATTGGTGGAGCTACTCTATACTAAGGTCAGCTTGCTCCCATTTGTTTCTTGAAGGTCTGCGTCCTTGATCCGTTTAACACTTCGCCATCGGCCTATACGCATAGGCAGCTGCATGGCTAACTTTATTAGGGGCCACAGCTTGATCTATTTTTATATAAGTGACTTTTCGCGAGCGTTCATATGCTTGACTTGTTTTTACTTGAAGGCAGTGCTGACTGTCATGCAACCTTTTTGCATGAGTGTTAACGCCGGTCTTGATGTAGATTTCATAATTTGCATGCTTGTTATGGTCGGTTACCTACTTTGTCTTTTTCTTGGGTGCTTAATTGACCTTAAGATCGCCTCCCATTTTTGCTGCATTTGGTTGCGTCCCTTATTAATCGCTGTGCCATAATTTTTGCAGAGCCTTCTAGTCCTCTGTGTTGTAAGCTGCTGATGAAAATAAATAAACTTGGTTTCATTTTTCTATAGTAAAATCTGAGTCATTTGAGCTTTGCTCCTTTAGCAAAGCGACTCTGTTTTTTTTTTGGGGGGGACCTGGTCTATTTTCCTCGCAATACGAACATTTAATTACCCTGCGGGAATCCTGTGTCTACAAGTTGACTCAACAGAGTGGGCAATGTCTGAGGTAGGTATAGACAACGAGAAGGAACGGAATATAGCCTGAACTAAGGCGTAGTACGAGTGAGAGGCCGAAGCTGATCTTTGTTAATCTAAAGACCGATGCTAGTTGTGACTTTTTTTTACAAAGACGACGACGGTCAACGAGCTCCTTTTTGCTATGTTCATTCTAAGTTCTTTACTCAAGTTGATCTTGTATTATCATATCTTTTTTCCCCCAGGGAACGACAGCGTTTAGCAACAGAAAACAAACCTAAGACACCAGACCACGAGAGCGGCCGTGAGGGTGCCAGGATAAGGCTATAACCAAGTAAACAAGAGCAGTGGAAACTGTTGAAGTGACCTCCTCGGGCGGAAAAGGCACGCTAAGATTGTTAAGAAAGTAAGACCAGTGAGACACACTAGCTACCCCTCAATACACTAGAGCAACATCTTGTCTCAATCTCGTTTTGTATTCCTATCAAGAAATGAAGGAAAAAAGACAAAAATTGAAAAAAGGGAAAGACGAAGTGCTATTTGAAGAACGACGACCGAGTGTTGGGAAGTACCTACTTCAGCTTCAAGAATTTATTTAAAGAACGACCTGCAACTTGCCCGCTAACCCCTCGAGTCTGTAGGGTACATGCAAACGAGAAGGAGGCAGCGAGCCCCTTGGCCCCCCCTTGAGGCCTTCCACCTACTTCCCAGGCCTCCAGGGGACACAAAGCTCCGGGAAGGGACCGGGGGGGCCCCTTGGCCCCCTTTTGGGGCCTCCCCCCCCGGTCGATCATGAATCCAAGAACAAAAGTTCCAATTATAAATACAACGGTTCTTGCCCCACTTTTTTACATACTTTGCACGTGGGCATGCTTCTCTTTCTCTCGACCCTGAGCCTGGGCTACAACTAATATCTCGATTCATTTAGAATCTTTATAGAGAAATTGTTGAGTGAGAACCAGATGCACATTCATTTGATGGGGTTCGTTCCTACTCCGTTATCCCGCAAGAGGATGAGAAGCGCAAGAGGATGAGAAGCGCGAGTTTCGACGTCGAAGGTCATTGATGATGCTCCACTATCCGTTGACTTCTAACAAGAAGTTTTACTTGACTTATCCACCTCAATTACGTATGTGCGCAGTAGTTAGCGTGGCTTCGGTACAGACGTAATCATACATAACTTAGGCCGTGATTTCGGTGGTTCAAAAAACGGAGCATTCTGCGACACTAGTAGGCCGGCACATGTTATTAATTGATTCTCAATAACAACCATTGGCAGAATTGCACCAAACAAACACGAGAAAAAATTCATCATGAAACAAACATGTTGAGACACAAAAAAAACATTTTCCGACGGAGAGAGCCTGCCGGACACATTCCGTCATTCCTAGAACAAACAAAAAACAAAATTATATCTTATATAGGACCGATGCCTTCTCGCGGAGGGAAGAAATAAGCATACCTCTCCGATAGCACCGAGACAGAAACCACCAGGCTGCAGAAACTCTCAGTTGTAGAGCTTTTCGGCTTCACTCGCAGAGTCACCTCTAGTTTCATGCTTCTTTTATCCACATGCTGTATTGCGCTCTCTTACTATGTGCTAAAAAAAGTCATTCACCAAAGACCGAGCCGGAAAAAAGAACACGGACGTGTCAATCACGGACCTATCTGCACAGCCGCAAATCCCAGGGCCCTCACAAGGACGTATCTGATATCACGGCTGAAAATATCAACGATAGCGCAATCAATACCGACGAAATCTTTACCTTTACCTTTCATCCCGTGGAAGGATCACCAAATAAACAACGTCAGCGTGGTGACATCTCATGTGTGCGTAGCACGCTGGTCATACTAGCCGGTCTTATGGAAGTAAGTATCAATCAAAACAGATTCTGGAGCAAGTGTCCCGTCATGTAGCATTTTTTCGAAGTCAACAGTGTAAACAAAAGCACGCACCTGCAAGTAAGGGATCGCGCACTTGAGGAGCGCCCGTCCATCGCGCCTACACGATTCTAAGAAGAGGTTTTGCACTTGTTCAATCGGATGAATGTTCTTGTTCGGGAAATGAAAATATCAGCACTAGCTTGCTAGTCGTAACATTAAATAACAAAAAGTGGTAAAAAAACCACAATTTTCGCCAGTCTGAGAAGTAGAGACGAAAAGGTACTCGAGGACGTCGTTACGACATTTTCGCGTCTTCCCGGATGTTTTGCTGAAAAGACCGGACGAATGTGGTCATGGTGCCAACCACACCGTCTTGCTTCTCGATGCGGTCGCCCGTTTCGTCTTGGATCTTGACATCCAGGACGTCCAAGGCCTTCTTCATCTGGTACTCGATCACGTACTGTCGCTTCAAGATGCGTTCGCGCTCGTACTCTGTCAGCACCTTGAAGTCCATGTACCTGTGTTGTCGTGGAAAAAAGGAGTGGATGAAAACGATCGGTAATTAAGTGTAAGAACGAAAGTAAATTACTTACTAGGAAAAGTTGTATCAATCATGTTGAAAGGGTACTCCTCGAAAAAAAGGAAATTGATGTACAGAATCCGGATAAGATTTTAATGGGAGACAGATAATAACAGTCTGACACAAGAAGATCAACGAACAAAAACCGAAGTCATATCTTACTGTTGCTCCCTATTGAATTTCTCGATGTCAAGCGTCTTCTCTAGAAGGTCAACCGCATCCTGGAGGTTTTTCCTGCTCTCCGCCTCATTAGTATGCCTCGCCTTCTTCTCCTCCTCAAGCTGGACCACTAACTGCGCAACGTCTCGCTGGATGGGCACTAGCACCTGGAGTTGTTTGGTAGCGATGTCTTCAGTGCAGCCAAGAGGTAAAATTGGCAATTCTTGTACCCATCGCACTATGCAGTACACGTTTGACTCTACTTGAAGACAGATTCATAAATCGTGATCATGACTTCTGCAGTGAACGGAGTTTCGTATAATACAACTCCAAACTACGTCGCGACGCACAAGATCAAAAAACATAATTCACAGTACCTCCAAGACGTGCGCTTTTCGTTCTTTTATTTCGGTCTCGAGATTGTCACGTATCTGGTCTATTCTTTCATTCAATTTCGCTATACTAGCACGCACTTGCGTTATTTTCGTATTCAGTTTCGTCATAAGCTCCTCCCGCATTGTTCGCAACTCGTGCTCAAACTTACTCTGAAATGACGCCAGCGTAGCCTCCAGTCGCGCGACTTCCTGTTAAAAATGACTACAATGAAGTCATCAATAGAACCTGCTAGTAAAAAAATACTGTTGAGGACTATGATATCGTACAGCGAAAGCGTTTGCCTTTTGCTGAAACGACATCTTCCATCGAATTCCATTTTGAGGACGACATAGTTTTCATTACCTGCGCCATATAATCTCGGACATTCTGTATTCGCAGGAGTAAGTCGTTATGTAGCTCGTCCATCACTCGGCGCTGCTCTTCCCTGCAGTGTGAGGTTGTTGAGAAAATTCAACTTGCTTTGATACGACTAGCTGCTTATTAAAGATAACGAAAACAAACATCCTAGGAGTGCCTACAACAAACGAAAGCTGAAGTTTCGTTTCTCTATTGGAGTAAGAAGAAGCGGAGTATGCGTACCTCGCTTTGTTCGCTTCCTCGAACACTGCACCCATTGCTGCAACGTCGTGGCCCAATTGTTGCAGCTCCTCATTTGGCGGCTTCATCCTTGCTTTGGTTGCTGCCTCATCGTAGGGTATTGTCTCGACAAGCATTTTTGGTCCAGCACGTTTTTCCCTCACCAGCGCCGCACTCGGCGACGCCGGTGTCCGCACGTTTGTTGAAGACGCCATGGCTCCTCCTAGCGTCGATGCAGTGATCACTACTAGTTGGAATAAAGATTCTGTTGTTCTCGACTGCTTAGTTCTCGTGCAACTTCCGTGACCGGTAGGAGTATCCCCGTGTCAGCAAACACGATTACTTCTTTCTGCTTTCGCTATGCAATAGCAAATGTTGATACGGAGAAAACAAAATCGTTGTACTTACTCCAAAATGCGCCACAAAACCCTTTTGCAGTGGTACGCGACAGTAGATGTCAAGCACACGAACGAGGCAATAGCGCTACTCGTTCAACAAACCTTCTCTTCTCATTCGCTTCTTTCCTTTTGCGCTACTGCCGTCCTCATCGTGTAGTCGTGTGCAACTACTCACTTTCTCCCTTCTCCGCAGCTACTTGCTTACGCTACTGCGGCAGATGGCTCGTAGGCCCTCCCCAATTCGTGCCTTCCACGAGCTCCATCCGTTTCCTAAAGGCTTGCCGCTACCTTGAGTATCGATCCCAGCACTGCGGTAGTTCGTTCGAATCGTTTCTACGCCGTTGTTTGAACTAGTCGCTAATAGGGGCAGCAAACTGGTAAAATCCCTAGCCAAGTACTATCGAGAAGAGTTGTGTAATTCTAATTGGTCGCCTCTGTACGTAGTTGGCTTCCTCAAGATGGGAAACTAGACGAACATCAAAACTGCGTCTCCAGCTCAGGCAAAATCGTGCTACTAACTGCGTTCTTTAACTAAGTCCTCCAGCGAAGAGGTGTTGATCAAGCTGGAATTGCCTCGCTTTGGCTGTGTGGCGATGCGTCGCAGTCGGGCACGGAGGGACTTTCTGCCAGTTGGTCCAAACGCGCAGAGAAATTCTCGTCGCTGCCACCTGTAAACGGTGTGTTCCTTGTGTGCGTCTAGCGAGATGACTTCGAGATGCGTCTCGCGACACCCGGAGGAAACGCGATGGCTCGAGCAGGGACGGAAACGATTTCGTCGCTGCTAGCGCGCCACTTTTTCCGGTCTCACTAGCGTCTTCAGAAAACCCTCTGCCGCAGCCCGGGCGGCCGTATGAATTTGGAGATTCGACTTCTCTTGAAACGAATTTTTATAGTCTTAAAAAAAGCACTATATGAACTGTTTAGCTTATCTTTTTGCTACGTGTCCGTCAGTTGATATCGTCGATTGACAGGTTAACCCTAAAATGGACATCTCTGAGAGTAACACGTGGGCGAATAGTTGGGAGCGAAAAAAGTAGAATCGAGAGGGTGCGACTACTTTGGGGCGCAGGTCTTCTTTGCTCAGGTCGGAGGTCTTGCTTCATTCTCAACAGCCTGGTAAGAAATTTTCTAGTATCTGAGCGAACAATATTGTTGACAAAGACCGAAGACAACGGTACACGCGAGCGACAGAACTAACCAACCAAGACAGACAGTTCTGTATCGCTCTCTGATTTTCAGCACAACTATGCGCGTTCCGATCGTAGACGCCTCAGCAAGCGATATCGAGCTGACAACAACCGAAGTAGAGAAATCTCAACAACATTTTGAAACCACGGCAGCTGTCCAGCGCATTCTTTCATCTCGAACCAAATGTGTGCTCATACTCTGTGAGCAGGTCAAAAGGAGTCATTTGCGCCAGAATTCCACCATCTGCTACTTGTATCATACGCATATGATTCATTGACTACTTACTTCAAAAAAACTACTCAAAAGGAGTCGCGTAGGGATCGGAGGAACAGCGCCGACCCTCGTATTGCCCACATACTAACAAACAGAAACAGATATCGGGCAACATGAGACCATCTCCATTTTCAAAAATCGATGGCATCTGCATTCCGTGCCAAGCCCGCTCGCGCCGCGTTGTTGTCTTCCGGATTGTCACAGGGCCAAACTGCGTTGCACAGTACGCCAAACATGAATTTCCCCTTTTCCACAACATCCGAAGGCACCTTTATACGCTGTGCGCGCTTTGGAAACACGCTTTTCAAATACGCCGCATCCGCCACGTCCGCCATGAACCACGGATGACGGCATTCTTTCGTAGTCTTTTCGAATAGCGTCTTGTCGACGGGTGGAAGGCAGAAGCCCTTAAACGCGCGCCAGCCGCGCGCACAAGGAGTAGACCAATGGGTGCTACCTCCCGGACATTCGCCTTGCTTGAGGCAGGACCAACCATCGAGACCACAATTCTCTACAAAGTCCCTCTTATCCTCGGCATCCTCGAAAACCTTCACTGCGTTTGGGCAATACAGAGCCTTAGTGCCTGCCGCGCGCCATCCCGGTGGCGCCAGACACAAACGTTGCTGTTGTCGGTGGGTGTATGAAAACTTGGAATACGAAGCTGTTTTCAACATACATAGGATTGCAAGTAAGTCCTGCGAATCCTCAGGACTTTTTGAGTCGAAGTTTAAAAGTACCTTTTTGGCATGGTCCCAGCCTCTCGGACAGGGATACGTCCAGTCCTCTCCATTCGGGCACTGATTTAGCGCGCTCCGTTTTTCGGGCCACCGCTCCTTGCAAATTTCACTCCATTGCCGCCGCTCCGAAGGTGTCAAGTCTTTCAGATTTTGCACAGGAAAGCAGGGCCCCGTGTAGCTCTCTGGCGCCTTACACACGTACGACGGCTTGTCTGCGCCCTCCAAAGCACCGCCTTTCTTTATAATGACCCAATTGCTTGGACAGATCTGTGAAAAGTCCTGCGGTCGCCGCACGATCGGATCCCCGCGTGCGTTGCTACGTGGAAATTCGAGCAACTCATCTCTACTCTTTGACCATGATAGGCAGGATTGCATGAGCCACATCTAATGTCCTCCAAATCATGATCGTTACAACAAACGACCCACTTTGTAATTACCTTGAATCACAAGAAGAGATACCGTACGTTATTGCAGGCCTTAAGGTATACTGCCTGGCACGCAGGGCCATTTTACTCGGCAACGATGACTATGCGCCTCTTTCTCGGAAACGCTTTCGCCTCCGCGGACCTGTATGTTCTCGCACGGTCCCTGGTACGAAGGTGGGGGCCAACAATTTCCCGCTCCGTCAGTGTCATTCCATCCCTCAGGACAGTTGCGACTATAATTACGCGTGCAATGTGCCGGGTCACCGGCTGCGAAGGAGGTTGCACCATCAAAGGCGTTCCTTCGTCCGTTACTTCTTGCTGCGGAAAGAGAGCCACGCGAAAAGAATGAGGAAACAAGTTGTCTGCGTGAGATAGCGGATACTCTCGTCTTTCTCCGAGGTGTGATGTTTGAAGCAAACATGATAGAGATGTCGCCATCGCCAGGTGCATTTCCAGCGAGAAAGTCGTAGCCGTCAGTAGAACTCTGTAAACGGCGCTGCTTCCGCGAGACGACCGAACAGGCATGCGAGTGAGATTCTCCCTGATCCACAAAGCATTGCTGCAATAAGGTACTGATATGCCCCATGTCTTCCAGTTCATTTAGTTCTTGGACACCTATCTGTCGTGGGCACAAAATTTACAATCTCCCGCCTTGGTGGTCAATGAGGATTATATTACCGAATGATAATCGACGATAACCAGAGGACTACACATAGTTGTACATAGCACTCAGACGGTTATTACAACTATCTGCACCTAAGGCGATATTTCTCTTGATCTACCCGAGAGGAAAGACGATCACACGAAGGGGAGACCGTAGGGTCGTTTATTGTAGGGAATGCACTGATATTGAAGTTCAACTCTAGACAGAAAAGAGGACAGCGACTGCAGTCCACGCTCAGTCAAAACTCAGCCGCTGACTGCAGCCACACACTTGGTGGATGCACCCTACCAGCATCCACCGATTACGATCTACTTAACAGATCTGGCATTACGCCACTCTATAAACCGAGTCACGGAGTGACGACTTTTACCGAGTCCGATTTGAGCTGCAGTGAGAGTGAGGGCTTGTTGCTCCTGCGAAGTCTCACCCAGCGTAACGATTGATCGGCAACGACTGTACCAAATAAATAATTTCATCGAAAAGTAATGAATATGAAGTTGCAGCACAAGCAAAAGTCAGTCTCTACTTGGACGTGTCCAGAGATCAAATTTACGCTGTAGTTGCTGGCCTGCAATGCGCCCACAATGATCCATGGTGCCAACGAACAATTGGTTTTCAGAGACTCTATTTCTGTGTGTCACCAAACAGTGCGAGCCCCTACGGAGACCCAAAAAGGAATAATTTTGATCCACTCAACATTACCCTCCCGCAGCTGCGCTAAACACCTAAGCAGGCACAATCGCCCGGGTACCGACTAGCGTCATCATACTATTCCATCAGCCGCGTAAAGGAGTGGTCATGTTTACCGAGTCCGAAGTGATCTGCAGTAAAACGACATTAAGTTGTGACTGTCAAGTAGTTGATGCAGCACGGACGAAATTCTTTTGTTGTTTTTCACACTGTTTTCTTTTTCAGGTTCGAATGAGTTTTATCTCCTTTACATGGGTATTTGTGGCTGGCAGTTCAAAGCTGCTGATAATTCATTTTTCCATACAACGGGGAGAAGTATCAAGGACACCGGAGCACTCCACTAAGTAATAACCTTTGGGAATGGGTTTTTACGTCTTCAGGACTACCGTATGTTTGCATGGAGATACAGGGTACGCATCATGTCTTACAGTGTATTTCTTACACATCACAACCTCAACCTTCATCGGGATCGGATCTGCTACAATGGAAACACAATAATGTGCTCGTTCATGTTCGAACATGGAGTACACTTATATTTCAACAGTGTGTAGCCCTCAAAATAAATTTATCTTCAAGTAGTTGATGCAGTTACTTGACACTCACGCTTTGTTTTCATCTGTTTACATTTACAACCGGCAATTAGAGGTCAGCAGATCATCTTCAGTAATTCTTCCGCCTGGCTTCTTTCTTTCTGCGTGCCTCGATTCAGCAGCATCCCCTTCATGTAGATGTCAGCAAACTCATCCGCATCGAAGGTTGCGAAAGGCTGTCGTGACGGGCGCGCCAAAACACGACGAGCTTGGTACGTTTTCTGAGGCTTTCTGTCCAGCGGTACCTCCGCAACATCGAAGTATTGCACACGCACGTGGTCCGGAATCCACATCTGGTTGAACAACGTGTTCGCTATGTTCTGCATTATCGCGTATTTTCGAGGCGGAACGAAACCGAGCTCCTTCTCGTACCAACGCCCGTAACGGCTTAGCTTCAGTATACTGGTCGTCACTACGTACGGCCGCGGTTGAGTTGACGGGCCTACTCGCGAAACCGACTTCGCCGAAAGCTGAGCAGACAGCAAAAGAGCCTCCTCCTGCGCCCGTTCAAGTAAGATTCGTCCCAGGCCGAGGCCGCGAAAGTTAGCATCCACAAGCCGAAACTGGATACACAAGGTATCGATGTAATCAAGCGCCTTCGCCGCTTCGCCTGATGCCGTTTCACCTCTTCCCGGGCCTCTATGTGGTATGCAGGCCCCGTTGGCTGGTGGTGGCTGCATTTTCTCTTCCGGACTGAGCTGGCTGCTGTCCCGAAGTGCGGCGCCTACCGGATCAGTCAACACCGCGAGCTCCACTTCAGTGGCCGGTCGCTCAATCGCAAATCACAAAAGCCTTCGCTGCAGGATATGGAGCTTCGTACTGCTCGCGCGGCTCCCGTTCCATGTGATCCGCCCACTGTTTTTCTCTTTCCTCACCAAGAAGCTGCAACAGCATGGCACGATACCGGTTCGGTATCTTCTGCGTGAAACACTTGGAAAGTTAGAGAAACTATGCCATTATAAAGTCATTTTCATTTCAAAACCCGACAAAGATCATCTTAGAATCTACAGCACGAGATTCGAACGATGTAGATGTCTTTAAGAGGAAGAACTAGTGCCCTCACTTGCCATAATAGAGGTTGAGCACGTGAAACTGATTATCGACAAAAAGTTGCAGCGCAGACTTTTGCATGCGTCGGTCTTCAAAATCCACAGCGCGGAGAAGGAACTGCTTTTCCCCGACGTGGAGAAGTCGCGAGGCCGCGTTCAATTGTGCGACGTCGTTGGAGGAGTTAGCATCGTCTTCGCATGACGCAGCGGCGCCACCTCCTCGACTACCCGCCGCACCCGCCGCGTCGGTGAACCCCGAGTCGAGGGTCTCAAACCACGCAGCCACCTCTGCTTCCGAAAAAGGTGCGACGTCAGCGTATGCAACATCAGACAACTCGAACGCTACGTCTGCAGCGGTGCCGATGTTGTCGAGGTCCATCTCGTCACTATGCGTCGGATCTTCTACCATATCATAGTCCACGGCGCGTTTCTGGTCGACATGCATCTTCCGCACTGAATTCTGAAGTTCTGTCACCAGCTTCGCAACGTCTCGCCGGCTCTCCTTAGCGCTGTCTGTGCGACAAGATACTTCTTCTATATCGTCGTAACTCCATGTTTCCAAAAGAAATGGCAGTGATAAGAACTCCAAACTGTCTTTTGAATACAACCTGCACGAGATGGAAAGGACCGCTTGCGTCCATTTTTGATGAATCTCAGTAACAAAACTGCGAAAAAAAGCTTCTCCGAAATTTTATGAGTCATCGTATTCGGATCTCTGCTGATTTTATGAGTCATCAAATTAGTCCTGTTGCTCTTTACAAAAACAAATATTGCGTTGTCCTTTGACGAGTCGTAATTTTGCGGACATTGGTGCGCTTGAGGACTTTCTCCGGCATATCGGCGAAAAAATTGGACTTCTCGAAGTCTGCGACCTGCAGAGGGACCTTGCCGCCCGTGCGGGTTGGTCCCTCACAGAGTGCACCCGCTTGAAAATCGGAACCAAAGCGCCGCTGTTGCTCAGCGAGGTCTTCGCCGATACTAATAACCCGGGCGAGCTTCCCGTACAATTTCGGGAAGTTTTTCAGTCCCTCAATCTCTACCGTTTGTCCAGCACAAAGCTCGGCACTGGGCATCGCGCATGCGTTTGAAGGAACGAAATCGGGTACCCGAAAATCGTCAGACGCACGCTCTTCCACCGCCGTGAACATGTGGGCAAGCTGATCGGCCTCCTCACCCGCGCCGTGCTGCTTTAAGCTCTGCGACGCTCCCAGGAATTTCTCCACTGCCTGCTTCTTGAGGTCCCCATACCGATTCTCAGGGAGCGTAAGCCAGAGCCGATTAGCCACGTTCGAGAGCCAAGCTTGGTTATTGTCGGCGCGCTCGCTCTCGGGGTGACGCATCCAACGATGCGTGTTGCGCATGGGCCTGTATGCATGACGAGCAAAAAATTGATTCCGGAGGCACACCCTGAATCTGCCATCCTTTGCTATGTCCAACAGGTAGTTGGAAATCTTCTTATCCACCAAGAGTGGCTCAGCCCCCCCACTCGGCTGCTTCTTCTGCTTCGTCTTTTTCTTACTTGTCACCGTACTAGTTGCTGCCAACCTTTCCGCTTCTTGTGATTCCTTCACGCAGAGGTCGTGATTGTGTGATGCGCGTTGTAGCAGGTCGCCGGGCTTGATATCTCGCGTAGCGACGAGAACGCAAAAATTCAGATTGCAAATCAAGCCGGGGCAGTCTTTCTCCAAATTTTCCCCCAATCGGAGTAATTCATCGAGTGCAGCATCATCCACTCTCGCAGCGCCGCCGCGGCTGCATTGATTCGCCACAAATTCCTCAAGCGACACGCTTTTAACAAACATCGCGCAATTCGATGTCCCTTTGTCAATTGGTTCCGGCACACGCGCCAGTTTCGGCAGCACTCCGAGAAGGCCTGTTTGTTCCAGTGATGGTTACCGAATCCCGAAACTAGAAAACAAAAAACTACTTCGAGACTCGGCCTTTCGCAGATGGAGCCAACAACTCTCTGACTCGCAGTCAAATTACGAAAAAAGCCGCTAGGGTGAACTAGGATGCTTTCCTACTTGCACCGACATCAAAAAACCAGAAAACACCTTGCTCCCCTGCATGTGCAAAAGGCGATGGATGGATATTGTTCTGGACTTTTTTGAGAACCGGAACGCATAGCTCTCCTTTATTATGGTACGGCTAAAAACCAGGCTGCCATACCTCCCCTCGGACCTGCTCGCTGCCATTCCCTAGCAGCAGCATGGATCGTGGTCGCAACGAGTTAAATAGGGATGGATCTCCCAGCACGACAAAAATACTCTTCTGAAACATTTCCATACCATCGTCTTCCACACTAATACGGTCACAGTATCCATGCTCGACCACAAGGACCTCACTTGCGTCGATCGGTTCCGTCGCTTTGACGCTCAGCGTTGAAAATGTCTCGAATTCTAGTTTCTTGGAAAGATACACCGGAGCGATAATCGTGCTGAAGTCAGCCGATCCCGAATAGGGATCTGGGCGAGCAGCGCTCTCGCTATTTCCTGTCGACACGCTTGCCATGGTCATTTAGAACCTCGTATCCAACAGCAAGCTTATTGTTTCGAAGAGGAGAAACTTGAAAAAAACCTGCTTGTTCGTCTGCGATTCCTTCCTCTTCCACAGTATGAAGTAAGTCGATGGTGTTCTTGTAGCTGAGGAAACGAGGTGTATGATTCTGGCGACTAAACCTGGGGTATTGCTGGCTTGCAACTTGCCCATGATCGGTGGTGCCAACAAGCAGTTCGCTGGTCTCAAGTGATCCTTTGTCTGTCCGTCACCAAATAATGAAAACCCCAAAGACCAGTCGAAAAGAAACATGTTTGATCAATTCAACACTACTCCCGATAGCTGCTCTCAACGCCTTTGCACGATGATGCACGACCCGACTAGCGTGATTCGTTCGAATACTTGCTATGGTCTGTCACTACACCATATCTTTTCGTACACTTTGAGGATAGTCTCTTTGGTTAGGAATATGCAGGTCTAAGGAATCTGCGTTTTGAACTTCGGGAGCGTAAAATATGCTTAACATAAAAGAACGCTCGCGAACGTCAACGTGCGATATGACACATAATTGACCATGAAATCTGACTTGGGAGCCGTTTTACAGTGTCTGGAGGGAAAATTTTTTCACAAAGCGTATGCTCGGAATCGCCGTGTAGTCACGTTGACAAGAACTTTTCATACATACAGCTCATCCTCGCCTTCATCTCGATATGAAACTCTCTGAGCAGCCGCTTCCCACGCTGTACTCCTCGTCCACCTCCTCCAGTTGTTCTCCATACGCCTCTTACGACCCCGACCTGGCCTTGGCCACCGACTGCGCATGATGACGGTGCTGTTATCGTACGAAGTGGCGGTCGGGTACAGGTAGCTCAGATCTTCCTTGAGCGCACTCGATGTCTCTTCAGCTCCTTTAGCTACAAGGCTGCTCGCTTCGCTGTCCTTCAGAGGTGCGTCTTCAATGCTAGACCACATGCTCCCTGTTAGCAACATTTCTCTATAATTTTCCATCGGATCTTCCTACATTGCTATCAACCAAAATCTATTACCCGTTACACATAGCATATAACAAACAATGATTAGACACCCAAAACATAGACAATCACCAAATAGATGAAACCAACAACAACATCATAACAGTGGTGAAAAGTAGGCGTTCTCTGTCCGCCGAAGCACACCCATCTGTCGCGTCTTACCGCTTTTTGCAGCTCGCGGGCAATCAAGAAGATCCCCCGGCATCATGTTGGACTCAATAATCGTGTTGATCAGGCTGGTCACATTGTAATCAGTCGGACCAATCGGAAAGGATACCGTCTGCACAGGAAATTAGAAAATTTCAGATTGAAAATAATTTGAATTAACTCTATTGTTCTATTGTTAACAATGTGGGGAATGGGAAATCCGAAAGATTTTCCATGCCGAACACTAATCAGGATCATCAACCCAATAAGTGGTCGGCTAGTATTGAGTAGATTACCTTTATTCGGGCAAGTACACAGTTGGTATTGAGAAATGACAAAAGCGGCAGGAAGAACACTCCATAAAGGCTGTTGAGGTTATCTTTGATTTGTTTCTTGATATCCTGCGTGATATCCATGACGTCGATGCGAAAGCCCAGGATCGATTCTGATATCTCAATTTTTGGCGTGATTGTTATATTCCCCGTTGACAGGTTTCGTATATACGGATATTCAGAATGACATTCCGCGACTAGCTCTATTCCGAGATTCTTGGGCCCACAGCACGCATCCGTATTGTCAAACCAGGTGATAGAGGAAACCGCTGTCGTTTCGATCAGCAGCGATAAGGGCAGGGTAAGCTCTTTGTGCATCTTCGAAGGCTCCAGGTGGGCAGCAAGCTGTCGAAGTAAGAAAAAAATAGAAATACAAACATTCTTTAATACGAAATCAACGAGCACAGGTCAACACTAGTAGCCATCAATGCTCTATAATCATATGCAATTGTCGATAGCATGCAGGACCAAAAAAGCTCCCTGAAGATAGTCTTAGTCATGACATGAGCGATTGTTGTACTTGTATATCTATACTCGAAGGAAAGCAGCCTTTAAGAACCCTAGTTGTACCTGAAGTTTGAATCGTGGTATCTTCTCGGCTCCAGAATCATCCTCTTCGTATGGAATAAGTTTCAGACTGTCAAGCCTCAAGTTTTCGAGGCCTGTGATCCACCTTGCTGTTGCCTTGATATGGTCTTGATCTATCACGGTCAGCGGAGCCGCGGGATTACCAGAGCTGAGCGGCTGACACGGTTCCGGCGGCGCTTTATCGCCTGAGCACAAGCTGCTCGTGTCATTGCAACACGCTATGGAAGAGACTATTAGAGACTTCAGACGTCCCACGGGTTTCATATCGAGCCTGTTGAAGTGATAAGTGCTTGCGTCCTTATCTCAAGCACAATTGTGACTACTCTTACTCCACGCAAATCTATTACGTAAGTACTTATATTACTCAAGAAGGACCTGTTTGACCCAGCATCAACATAAAAGTAGCTCCCGACTGGCGATTTTCTCGTTCGCTTGCTTAAAGAGAGGCGATTTTGCAATTGCGTCGTTCACCCATGGCAAATCGGGCACTGGTGGCTTCTCCGTTGCTTCCAGGACGTTCAAGATGATCAGCGGCACAAGGTATGAAAGAGGTACATCTCTGTCTCTCGACCCTTATCCGTAACCTAGTACGTTTCATAAGATACTCAAGCACAACTACTTTCTGTCTCGTCCCATGATCATCTGAGGCGATAAGCAATGGCCCGGAGATAACAAGTAAAAAGTAACAAGTCTTCTAAAGACATCCTATGTGTTGTCCTTCAAGAAATCCACCTATTAGATTGTTATAATTTGTTCATAGAACTAGAAAAATTCCAAGCAACACTGCATATCGAATGTGAATACTCAGCCAGGTTTGCGGGTTGAGCATCACTTCTAGCGCGGACTGCGTTCGACTTGATGGCACTGATACTGTGTCGTCTGAGACGATTGAACTACGCTGCGACTCCAGTTCCTAGTGTAGGCGTGGAAGGAAGAGAAAATGAATGTCCTTGTGTTGTTTCTTGTTCGGCAACGAATCTAGTCACGATAACTCCTTGCTTCTGGGTTGAAGTATAAAAGGACTTAGCGTGTCTTCTACAGCATTATTGTTTCACATCACAAGCGTTTACCTCAGAAGTCGCAGAGATGGACGCAGCTGTGCTCTGCTCTTCTATCGATACTGCGCCCTCTACCACTGTCAGTCGCCTTCCGCGCTCATTAAGCACCTTGGCATTGTACTCGTAAAACATCATCATGAAAAGTCCCGAAAGGCCATATAAGCACACGCAATAGCTACCTGAGAACCGATGAGCTAGAAGAAGATGTTGTAAGAGTTATATTTGTAGTATATATTAGAGATGATAGATGAGAGCCAATTTTTAACGATTATCAAATAATTTACGCAACAAAAGAAACACATAGACATCCACACACGAAGGCTAGAAAATAAAGTTACAACCACGTGTTATACCTGCTGGAAGGGCCTGGGTTCCTGTTTCATCCGAAGCATTAAAGGACATCCAGGCGACTAAGTAGGCAATCAGCAAGACGTCCCCCATCGCCCAGTCGTGGCAGAACTGGATTTTCGATCATACTTAGGAGAAGCAATTCAATTCATTGAAACATACTTACTACCTACTTGTTACGTAAAAAGCCGAAGAACAACAAAACGGTCAGATGAAAATAACTCTTCTACTTTACATGTTCATGTCGTATAAAACCATAAAAGATATATTACGACGCAAACATCTAGGCAAAATACATCCATTATTTTGAAGAGGCCGCGTTTCGACGGGATGTTGCGACCGATCATGCCTCGCTTGTCTGCAAAAAATCGGATCAGGATCGGAAGCAGGACATAGGTAATCATCGGCATGATGCAGATGGTTATCACCATCAAGTATCGGCAGATCTGTGGGGAGTATTTGTAAAAATATCAAGCACTTCTGAAATCTAATCTCGTGTGTCAGGTCCTCGTATTCGATTTCCTTCAACAGCATGCTTATACCGGATTCAACGCCAGTAGCGTCTCGTGCAGCGTAGCACGCGTTCCGATGATGCGGACCGAGCCGAATATAATCGCGTACACGCCCAGAATCGGAGACGAAAAAAACAACACAACGAGCGAAACAACTTGAATAATCGCCACAGGCAGCCAGATTGATTGAACTGACTTCTCTCGTCCGGTATCGTACCCGTAGCATATTATCTGCGTTCCGATCACCGAAAGGATGCAGTATCCACTAAAGTAGTAAACGCCGCTCTGTTGAGAATGAGGGAAGATAAAATTCGTCTTCTTTCATCCAGATTGAAATCGAAGATAGTCCCACGACATAATTTACAGACTGAAAAACGGCTTCTCTTGTTGTATACAGCGAATAATCCCTCACTCGGTTGCGCACTAATCATGTACTTATATCGCGGTACCAGAAGTTCTGTCGTGATAACTGGAAGATTGAGGTAGACGTAGCTCAGAAGCGTGGAAAAAGTGTCGACGAATTGAAATTTGGAGAGTCTCGCCACAAACCATAGGAGTTTTCCGTTCCCGAAGTAAGCTCCCCAGCAAATGAGTCCACCCTTGATAAATGGTAGCGACACCGAAAACAACGACAGCAGGAATGCCGGGGGATAATAAGCAGGCCCTTGCTGCCACAAAAATTTCACCAGCTCGATCGTCGAACGGGTCATCGACGCTGAACAAAAAGGGGAATCAGAACTACTGAAGTACAAGGAAGCATGCGTCAAGGGGTATAATAGACATCCTCATCTCCCTCCGTACATAAGTGGTTCCTTTATCCCGGAATTCATTCGGGTAGTTGTCGTAATAGTAGTTGTAGTCAACCTAATCTAGAGGAGTTACAACACGAAGTGACTCAAATAATCCGTGAGCGTCTTTCATGTCGGTCAGATTCAATTAGTACTTTCGGTGCTGAATAACCCTGTGTGCACATGGCAGGTCGGCCAGAAGAGTCCCGGATATATGAAGCAGTACGCAAGAGCGAGAATTCCGAATCCCACATAGTTCTGAATTCTCCGCTGCCTCTGCAATGCTACAGGGTCAACGACCGTCTCGCGAGGAGCTGGACATGGCTCAACCCCTGTACATTAGCGCTGTCCAGTATAACTCATCTTTTACTTTTAGTTGCATCCTAGTAGTATTCGAGTGGAATATCCTCGTGGTACTATTCGAGTGGAATACTTTTTTGCAGGGATGCAGCCAAAGATGCAGTACAAGGGAGAGACTTAAGTGTAGGGTTTAAGCAGTTGATCGCCGGCGGTTGCAGACGTCATTTCCAGTCTTCCGAAAGGTGTGGCGTTGTCTGATGAAGCCGAAAACGAACCTTGATGATGCTGTCGCTGATGCTGTAGTCCTTGAACATGTCCTCTCGTCAAAAGTTGGTCGTCCCTCAATTCTCGATAAGGCGTTCCTCCAGGTTCCGCTAAAGCTACGCCACCCGATGTTGAAGGTTCGTCGTTTGAAGGGGACCCTGAGGCAGCAACGTAGCCGCCACCAACCACAGACGCAGCTCCGCCGTTGAAAGAAAAGCGCTCTGACCCAGCTTCTCCTGCTTGTTCTGAGGGAGTTCCAGTTGCAGGTAAATCCAGGTCGGCTGTTGGGACCAACTCTCGCTCGACCAAGGGTTGATGGCGGGCGTCTCGGCGCCCGAACGGCCACGACAACGACACCCTGATGCGTTGTTCTTCCCCTTACGACATTCACAAGAACCACTTATTTTAGCCGTTTTTCATCCAATAACCTCTGTCGAACTGCTACAGATAGTTTTTTCACCAACGCTACTTTTGTTCCCCGTATTGGTACTATAATATGCTCCTGTTAGTCTTTTTCTCCGTTCGTTTCTCCTTCTTCTGCTATAGCTATGCGCACTTCGTAAAGCCTGTCAAATCGACCACACCGCACTAAAAACTGCGATGGAAACGTCGTCCCCGTCGCTAGCGATGCGTGCGACTGAGCAAACAAGGGAGAAAGCTCGCACGTTTATTCACAGTTGTTTTTTGCTGTTTTGTCAGCACATGAAAGAGGTAGGAAATTTTCGTCGTTAAGAAATTCCTGTGGGATCAAGAGGTTTCAAACTTCATCCGGGCGAGTGAACTCCAGCCTTACTTCGGAAGCTACGATTAAGAGTCAATAGGTACACATTTTTTTGTTGTAAGATCATATGTCATTGATAGTTCCTTATCGCTAGCGAAATTATGAAAGTCGGAAATATAGTCGTAGAAGAAAAGCAACAAGGTGTCAACAGAGCTGTGAGCTCGCATTTCTCCTTCTTTTCTAAGGACCACTAATAGATGCCGCTCGCTGCTCTCTCAGTCCCAAATTTTTTCTAAAACTGCGATACCACCGACATGCTGCACAACAGTATCTAAGTAATCCATGCCCGATTGATAAGTCCAGCCGTAGAACACGGCACCTGTGGTTATCAAAACAAAATGACGTGGCAGAGAGCCATTCTTCAGGCCTACTTCATGAATTTATTTTTTGTTTTGAGACATTAATTTCTTTGTATACTTATCATGCTTACCGTTCCACTTGGGAGGACATGGAATAAGAAATCATGAAGATAGTCGCGGACAAACGAACATGGCATGCTGTGTCGTTGCCTCATCCGTAGTGTGTCAAATTAGTGTAAAAACTATAAAAATATGAAGACAATTAAACTACACTATTTCTCATGGGCGCGGGTTGGGTTTCTATCTTGTCAAAGTCAAGGCGGGAAAATCTATTGCATAGCTTACCCACCAAGTAGCCATATCAGTAAAAATGGGACATGGAGAGGTCTATCTCCCACAAGAGTAGAGAAGTCGTTTCTTGTTGTTCTCTAGATAGATAGGGAAGATACTACTAACCCTGGAGTTGATGAAGTCAAGACTTAGTGCAAGAGGTGCGGCATCAATTCTTTCTGCGTCAGCTACGCTTCGAACCTTATGTATCTGAGGTGTTGGTCATTTCTTGTTGTTCTCTAGAAACATGGAGCTAAGCAAGCGCAGCTTCTACCTTGCTGCCAACAGGAGTGACAACGAACCAAGCACGCAGGAAAAAGTCCTGCGTCAAGAACTGTTCTAGCGACATGCGGACGAGGATCTACTCCTTGTCCTTGTTATGCAGGAGTATATATAAAAGGCACAGAGATTTAGCCGTACTTAAGCATGTAAGATACTAAAAGCTCCAGAATAAACTGGTATACTCCACAGCATTCCAAGAGCCCCGGGTTTCAAGCATCTAGGAATCCTCGTTGCTCTGATTTTTCTGTTTGCTCCGATATTTCTGCCGATTCCAGATGCTACGAAACCATGTACGAAATAAAAACGGCGCTAGAGCCAGCGTACAACAGGCCCCCAGCACGTATATTAATTTCATCTTCTAGTAATACTGTACGACTTACAAGTATGAACCTCTTCACTCAACAACAGAGGTGTTGAAGGCAGTTCTTCAGACCATTACATGATGGAGCATCCCTGATCTGGATTTTGGATAAGTGCGGGGACCGACATTAGGAGTTGTTGTTGCTGCATGGTTGCCTGCATAAAGCGGTCGTTGCCGCTCAAAGTCGCGGCGTGCACGAAACCGGCGAGGGCCATTTCGTCCGCTGTCACGTGGTACTTTTTCTCGACGGCAAGCGACGCGAAACCCTGCAATAGGCCGATAACTAGTGAGTCCTTCCACTGGACCACCCCGGCTGTGTCCCTCAGGGCTTGCGAGAAAGCAGAAACTAGGGTCTGCAACTCTTGTGCCAGTGATTCCTGCATTACTACCACGTCTTGGATCTTCATCTTCTGCACCCGCTGACAACGCTTGCTGCAAGGATTAGAGAACCGCTGACGAAAATATGTTGACATCCACGGTATCTACTACTCGTCTCCTTGCACGAAATCAGCAACAAGATCATATTCACAAGGTACAACTGCAAGGAATGTTTTTGTATAACCTTCATGATTCGAATCTCTTCGGCACGCGGCCTAACAAGAATAACCTTTTTAGTCAGCTTAGGCTTACCCTAAAAATATCATGCATAGGCTGTCTCGTATGCATGGTGTGAAAAATAATCAACATCAAACCAAGCCATATCATTTCTGGGGTCAAATCTCGGTACTTGATCTCGACCCATTGTTGAACCCATAGCAGCCATCGCCATTAAGGTCTGGAGTTCCTGCTCACTTTCGTCCCATAGCTTCCGCATGTCATCATGATCATCTCGGTACCTTTCAGTTTCAACAACAGGTATAAAGGAGTACGTCTACGTCTAGAACAAGTTTGATTAATAAATAATTGTTCATGCATGCTAGTTTTTAACAATTTGAACGAAGGCATGCTGCTCATATAGATTCTTGTCGCTTTGGCAAACTACTTCTAGTAAAGACCAAATGCATAAAGGACAATGACTTCTGCATAACACAGAAGCCAGAACAAGCATGGCTAAATACAGTAAGTAATTTCCTTCTAGAAGTACAATTCATAGTGTTCGCGCATTTCTTGGGGGTTCAGGGACTCGAATTGCATCGCACACTCGCTCACTTCGATAGTGATCACTTCGAATCTTCGGTAGGCTTCTAGGAACGACAGTTTGCTCCTCAGGTATGCTTCGTGGAGTTCTTTCGAGCCGTCTTTCATTCTCCTATGCTGCTTGCCGAGCTCTAGTAGATAACACCGAAATTGCTCGCTATTCAGTCGCGGCCTCGCATAAGCCGTCAACTGCGACATCAGAACTGGCCATTTGGAGTGGTCGAGAAGATGATTCCTTGTTTTTAGGTTTTTTGCAACCTACCCCAATGATTTCAAGGGCTGTGAAAAATCTTCTTGCACTCGCAGCTCTCCATCACAAATTACCGAGTGCATCTTGTACCACTAGAACTTTCTAAGTACAACAGCTAGATGAACGGATGAAACGGCAGAAAACATAGGATGGATACTTAGATGTCATAGTTAAACACTAAAACTATGTTGCAATACTCGTCAATTGCTGCGAGAGGTGTTGAAACTCGGGTTTCTCGTGAAGTTCTACTTCGTACTTGACTAGGCCTGCCTCCACGTCATCCGAACGGGCGCCAAATTTCCTTTCCACCGCAATTGCGACTAACAATTCTGAAGTCGTCTCGCATTGTTTAGCGGTATACTGGTGCCTCACTTTCTTAGGCAACTGCGAAAATTCCTTGCACGTTGACTTCAAAGTGTCGATCATCGTCTCGTGGACTTGTAACACTTGGCTCAGGGTCAAATCCTGCGATTCGTGGTGGTGGTGATTGAATCAGACAAAATGAACGTAATCATCTTCTTCATTACCATGTCTTATAAGTCATTGATAGATTGATTACAAACCAAAATGAAAATAAAAGCAATTTCTTTGTTAAGTAGTTACACTGTAGCACTAGTACCCCAATGCATTTATAGGTAGGAAGAAGAAGAATACTTTCCTTTTTCGCTTGGTAACGTTGTCCTGGAATATGGGTTCTTGCATAGTGCGCATTACCCGCTCTGCCTTGATACAAATCTCCTCATCGGTATGAAACCGCGCTAGGACCTCTTGAAATCTTGCCTCCGTTTGTCCAAACCTGTTATCGTATATTAGACGATCAAGACATATGCTGTAACATGAAAATTTTTGTGCTGGTGATTCATTATAGTGATTGCGATTTCTGCCGGCAAACTTGATGTGCTACGTGATTTCTTCATTGAACGACGTCGACTATGGTACGAAGATAAAAGCTCAAAATTATGACAAGACATTCACAGGCGCTGGAGGTTAACTTTTTAATTCGTGAGTACATCTCAAACGGGTCCCTTGGCAAGTTGAGCTCCTCGATTTTGTTATATGCTGCCTGGAAAGTTACTTGTGCTGGAAGCTTGCCCTCTGCTACGAGACGACTTCCTAATCTCGCGACCTCTCGCGCAGGTGTTTTGTATGTCTCAAGCTTAAAGGTAGTTTTTCACTATGCCTGGTTGAGTAAGTCCCCCCCCTCCCCCTTCGCTTCCCCTTGAAATCCACGGGGACTCACTCGGCATAGTTCACAGACACGTGATAGTGATAAACTAGCCTTAACAAGTGCTGTCAATAATTTCATGAGCGTCTCACGGTTTAGCAAACCTGCTGTGAATATTTTATAGACAACGTTACCTTGTGTTGATGTAGAAAAACTTCCTCTCAGCATATGTAATATTCTTACCAATACTTGCTTCATCAAGTAGAGTAGTTTAAGTGGTGCACTTTCAAGAAATACATTTAAAGATCAAAGTAGCATCCTTGTCAATTACGCGTCATCATGGACCTCTGGCGGCCGTACACAAAGTGCACCCACCCATGAACAAGTATTAACACATCAGAGGACACGCGTTCGTTATCGAAGTACCTGTCCCGTCCGTGCGCTCCTCTATCGACAAAGGACCTGTCGCATCCTCACTACCTGCAGATGTTGAGGATGTACTACTTTTTCCCGGCGTCTCCGTTATCTTACTTTCATCACCGCTGCTACGTGAAAAACCGCCAGTATTTTCTGGCTCCCCATTCATCTTTCCTGGCTTCGAAGACGATGATACAAATTAGAGGAAAACCCGAAAAAAACACCCTAGAAACGCAAAGGGCACTTCTAAAACATAGCTAGAGCCTGTCACGTTAGTGCCCATGATGCAACTGTACATAATCACCTACGAAGAGATATAATCACGTAAAAGGCCTACTTAGTGGACCTACTTCCTCAAAAAATCCATCTTCAGTTGGATTCTGTCATCAAGAAAACAAACGCATGGCATTCATAAGAAGTCGCACCTCCTACGGTCAGATTCGTGCCTGCTGCTGCGTTCGTCTCTATCCTGGTCATGGCATTCATAAGAATACCAGGTCCCAGAGTGGCGAAGGCCGACAACTGGTTCATCGCCCCCGCGACCTCTGCAGAACCAAATTTTTCCGTCATTTTAAGTCCTCCTATCTACTGAGACGTCACCGTGAGTATGTAATGTGAAAAATCAAGAGGGACCACAAAAAGTATGTTCGACTAAAACGCTTAGTGAAACACAAAGAACTGACGTGAGACTCGCACCCACGATATTAGAAACATCACAACTACCTAGCGACTTTTCGGCCTTGTTCTCAACAAGCCACCCTCTAGTTACAGGCCAGATTATTCTAGTCGCAGGCCACTCGCTACAGGTCACGATAGGTTTTTTTGAGAAGGTTCATCTCCACCACGTAAGAGTACTGTTGCTAGCATCGAAATCGATCCATATCTTATAAGAGCAAGCCCGACAAGAGTCGGGACACCAGGTGATCCGTGGTAATCCTGCATGCATCACCATCATCCTGTTGAAGAAAGTAGAAGATAAAGCAGAGAGGAGTGCTCAGGAATCATTAGATTTCAAAAAAACTGCCGCTGTCCTCACACTTCTCCTACAATCTCATAACGTACTCGAAAACTGAAAATATGCGAGTAGCTGAATGAAGTAACCGAGTAATTGAAAAGATAATTCTCTGCAGTTACTAGCTCATTTTAGTTTTTCGGATAGACTCAGTAGAAAGCACTGTCGTGGTCACCGCTGTAATTTCTGAAAGAACAAGCACAGAAACATTCTTGATCCTGAGACCGCATGTACACCGCATGAACACGACGCAACGATTCTCATTCCCGGCTGCACTTGCCCATCTTGGCTGGAATCTCTTATTGATTGCCGCCCCGCTTCTTGTAATACTCTCTGTATTTTTCTAAGAAGCGATCACTAGAACCAGAGACTTGTAGTTATGGTATTCAATAATAGACTGACACCCAACAAGCGGGGATCGATTAGTCTCAATCGTCTGGCAAAATCCATCATCTTGCAAGAGAAAACTTACCACAATTCGACAGTTCAACTCAAAGAGGCATTGCTCATGAGCTGTCAACATAACTATCGTTCAAACATAGGAGCGGATAAATATTAAGTGACATGAAGACAACGCTGGGAGAAGCTTGACGTTCACTCTCCCTCCAAGCGGACGTGTTCAAAATAGCGATCCTTGATGAGTAGATACATCGACACAAAAAAAACTGACATCTTATGCTGAGGTATTGCTGTTCTTGTTCCAAAAAAACTAGGAAATCCTAGTGCCAATAGACGCGAGAATAAAAGTGGTTGAGATATAGTATCGAAACATGTGTCAAAATAATTCAGAAAACGGGAAACAGACGCGTCTTGCACTTTCCACGTACAAGCGTGCCAAATATCGACATTTCATCACAGAAGTGTCAGGTGATGAAGTACCGTCACACACAGCCAGAAGTTCATCAAGAAAGTTCTTTCACATCACAGCACAAAACGCTCTATTTTATTTGTCTTTTTTCCTTTCGTCTTTTTTCTTTTTTTCTTTCTCCAAGTGGGTTTGCGTAATGTTGCCTGCGATGCCTCCCGTGTACATAACGTAGTTCGGATGTTTTTTCAGCAGGTTCTTGCTCTCTTGTTTGTCTGGATCTTCCTCCACAATGATGATAACATGATCCTTATGAATCGCACGACGAATGATCATTCGGGTTTCCTTCTCTTTCTCCAGTAGCTGAGACTCATTCTCGATCTCATCCTCCAGCTTCTCGCAGTACCATCCGATCAAGTCGTCCTCGGTGATACCCGGCACGCCATCCGCATCCACGTCCTCAGTAGTATGAAGAGAAAAAAACATTCATATGTTTGTTGTTTCTTTGAGATCAAACCAAACGAGTAGAGGTACAATAACTTGTAGTTCCGATGTTCTGTAAAAATTTTCCGGCATTGTACGAGTACCAGAAAAGGATAATCACATCCATCTCCTAACAGAGGAAGATGAGCTGCCCTGCTACATTTGTTAGTTAAAACAAGGCACTAGAGCTAGAAGTACCATTGTTATCTTACCATATATCTAATTTAGTGCAAACTCTTTCCTCGACATAAAGCTTGCTCATGAGTACGCTGACGACTCGTTTGTACTCTGCGAAGTCTAATTTTCTCGCTTTCGTCTTGCGCTTCGCGGTGGGTTGGCCACCAGCTGTGCTCTCCCCAATTTCACCTGCTGTTTCCCCTTGTGCCGTTTCCCCTTCTGGCCGGCTCTCCTCCTGCTGCGCTCCTTCGTCTCCCTCTCCTCCTGCCTCTTCTTGCTCTTGCCGCATTTCCTCTCGTTCTTCATCGTCCATATCAAGATTGATGGCCTCTCCAAGCCTATTGCCTCGACTCTCCTCCATAAGCTGCAGTGCGAATTCGACATACTCGCTGGTAATGTTCTCCTCCAAGGCAATTAGAGATCAATACTAGCAATGGATCTCGTCAACCAAGGTATCACCTATGTACTCTGATTCTGCCCAATATCATCAAAATCCCACTATCAAACCATAAGTAAAGCCGCGCAATAGCCTCGGACAACCGCACCAAAGATTCCAACTGACGAACCGTGATCGTGTAAGCACCGGGATCCCTCTGCGAGCGCTGACGGAGGTTCTTGTAGGCACGAACAAGCACGCGGCGTGAGTCTTCCGTGATTTTGGGTTGTATTCTTTGCGCACTCGCGATGTACTTCCTCAGTTCCTCCTGGGTGATGTTCATCTCCTCTGTCTGTTCCACCTCCGGATGGTCGTAGCAAACGTGCATTTTGATCAAATGCTTCGCGATTGCCTGGTCCAACGCCCTATCGTCAGGCCTATCCAGCAAAATAAAGAACAAGTCGAACCGACTCATGATTGGCGCCGTCAAGTTCACATTGGCCGCTAGTGTCTTACTCGTGTCATAGTTAGAGCTCGCGGCCCTAATGCATCCCATCCTATAATATAGAAGTTGGTCCATCCTCCTGGAGGGTCTCTTTTTGTGTCCTCTTGCGAAGCAAGCCTCCCTACCCCCGAAGATGACTCTTCTGAAGATGGACTGCATTAGGAGAAGGAGCCCTAACGTAGGTATTCTTCGTCGGGTTTGCGGCTGCTAGCACCGAAGATTTGGCATTCAACGTTGCGTGGATGCCGGCTTTCGACAACGTGATGGTCTGCTGTTCCATCGCTTCGTGAATAGCACTCTGATCCTTAGGATCCATCTTGTCAAATTCGTCGATACAACAGATACCTTAATAGGAATCAACGTTGGAGTGTGGTGACTGTGATGTAACTGCTCCAAGCATTATGATCTTAGTGAATGCTGTCTGCTTGATCCTTGAGTGAATCTCATAAGGTACCAATTAAATCTTTAGTCATGCACATTGAGTAAAATGGTATGTGTTTACCGCTATCGGCAAGCATAAGCGCGCCAGGCTCTATAACCATATTCCGTCCATCTTCATCTCTTGTGACGGACGCAGTGAGACCTGCAGCAGTCGAGGTTTTGCCGCTTGTGTACACACTACGTGGCATAAAGCTGGCAACATACTTCAAAAATTGTGACTTTGCCGTTGACGGATCGCCGATAATGCACACCTGTAGACCGTAGTGGACGAGGAGCTCCGCATTCGTCGAAAGTTCAATAGTTTTAAACCATTTCCAAAGCTCGAGAAACTGCATCACAATCCAGAAAAAACCTTTGTCATCTTCTATACAACAGTACACTTTTCTAAATATGACATGACAAATCATACAGACCTTTTCTTGATGTGTTCTCAGCAGCAGTATAAAAGAAGTTGAAGTACGTTAATATCGCTGCGCAGTTTAATCCCTTCCGGAGTAAATTTGTCCACCCCACCAATCATCTGTAAGAGAAGACCCTTCTTCACATTCAAATGACCATGTACGTTTGGCGCTATTGCCTGTGCTAAAATATCAAATGTGTCCCGCTCCCCCTTTTCGTTCACCTGGTGGAGATTCAATACATTGTAGAAATTCGTCAGAAGTCTGTTGAGACGCTGCCAGTGAGTGTCAGTGTCTTGCCTTGTTGTGGTCGTTGTATCATTCATAGACGGCAAAGCTGCAAATTATGGATACAATCAACAAAAGTTGTCACCAGATCTTTCATACATCCAGTTTAAAGGAAGTGTGCTTAATCTCGAGGATACATGCCTCGATATAGTCGTAATCCGCTCTTTCTCTTCCTCGGTAAGTCGGAGCCGTGAAGTCACTTTCTGATCCTCGGTGTTTCCCAAGGTGTCTACATCCTGATCGAGCTTCCGGATAACGCTCGCCACATACATCACTTTGTATGTCAATTCCCGCGCGCCCATGTCCCGCAGACCTTGGAGCGCAGTTGTGAGGCGTCTTGTGAGAAGAACATATGCATCCAGCTTGTTATAACCAATTGAAGAATCAATTATCATGAATGAAAAACTTCCAAAAAAATCATAAATACTCTATTTGTCTATTCACAACAGCATTTTTAACCGAAAGGACATACTAATTTTCGTCTTCGTAGTCTATCTTAGCAAAGCACCTCTAATTCCCTCCACGTAGTTCGTTCGATGGCGTTTGTTCACGTCACGACGAATGCTCTGCTTCATCTCCCCGGGCTTCATCAAACTCGGTACGTCGGGGACGACTATGAGCGTACCTGCGAGATTGAACGAATTGGAAGAGAATCAAAGTCATGTGTATGTGGGATTTGTTCTCCCATGTGCAATATGAGTGAAAAGTTGATGAAGAAAATAGAGCATCACATAGCAAAAACCTGAAGTCTTTACTAGTACCACACAAGCAGCCACTTGCTATAGATGCCTCTGTTGCTTGAGATCCAAGAAAAAAATCGACAAAATTGAAGATGAAATGGAACCTGTTATTGCGATTTTATCACCGGCTTTGCACGTCTCACATTGTTCACCCCTGAGGATAACGTCTAGAGTTCGAGGCATACTGCCTGCTGGAATCTCGTGCTCCGACTCCTGCACTCGTATTCTCTGCCAGTCGCCGTACTCAGTACCTAGGATGGATACTTAATCGAAGTTTTAGCTCAGATGAATAAAAAGAGTCTTGTCCAACTCCTGACACTCACTGTCAATTATGATAGGCATAGAACTCGGCTTCAGATTAAATACAACTGTCAATGCAAGGATAGATCAATAAGAAGTATATTACCATCCGCTTCCGGCTTTAGCTGAAAATTCCGCTTATTGTTGCAACCCAGGGTTGGGCATACCGGTGGCAATGTGAATTTGAACTCTTGAGTAACGTTTGTGATCTCGTTACCGCAAAGACCTTAGTAAGGTTAGGAGAATATGCATACTGCCTGTTCAATATGCCTTTTTGTTCTACAGTAGTGGTTTAGACCCTACAACTTAAGCCAATTAAAAGAAAATAACTGATGCTTATCTACAACACGCCGGAGTAGCCCCATCACTAATGCTCATCGTTTCCGAAACCTAGAAGTACTCGTTCTCGTACTAGTCCTTCTTTATATCTCAAAGATAAAAATAAACCAAATATAAGCCTGAGAAGTACCGCAATCGAAGCAGCCGACTAGAATCTCTGGCTTCGTCTCGGTGGTCCGCGTGACTGTGCCACTGATTTCTCGCAATTGGCCTGCGTGCTCCATATTCAAGTCCCGCAATGGGGTGCGCGCGGGGAAGTTGAATATCGCGAGGTTCCATGTCCTGTGCGGCTTCGAGGACACGTAATTCTGCACTTTCTCGTTGTGCTCGCCTACTATGCGCATAAACTGAGGTACTGCTTGGTCCAGATATACGCGGATATCGTAGAATTTGTAATTGAGAACCTCTTTCAAGTCGCCCATGTTGTAGCTCAGCTGGTGCTCGGCACCCTGGTCCCCGATCGCGTCCAGATGTCGGAAATCCAAATACAGCGTCTTCCAGAATTAGAAGAGAGAAAGAAACTCGTTAGGGACTACGGGTGCACGGCTACAGGTGGCTGGATCAGTCACAACTACACAACGAATGATTTAGTCCTTAAGGTTGAATGGTGACCATCTTTACAAATCATATCGCAGAAAAAATATCGAAATTCATTCAAACCTTGACTGAAGTGACTTGCAATTGCGGTGAGCCAGCTCTTTCAATTTATTACCATGTTCGTTGCAGGCTAAGAAGTTGTAAAGCTTATTTTCCTCTTCCACATCATGAAGACCATAATTGTTCTCGTCTGCCATTTCCCGCACTGCATCGTAGTAGTATCCTCTTTTCTGGCCATTTTCTTCCCGGTAATCGAAGGTCTCCATAAATTCCACTATGTATTTCTGGATAATCTGCCCCACATGGGGCGCAATAGAACCCGACATCCGGCTCTTTGGTTCGTCGTTGTGGACTACTAGTACTTAATAATTGCTATCCCTTCTGTAAAATGCTGTACTAGTAGCAAGTGGTCGGAAGGTAGGAACAGAAGTAGACGGGACGACCACGGCTTTTCTTCCTTGTCTTGTTCTGCGTGTTGAGGGGAAAGTGGTAATGAGAACCAGCGTTTGCCTCTAAGTGGGCACGAAGTTGGTCCTCCGCTCTGCAAGGTATTCCGAGCCGCTATAGTAGTTCGTCCCACGAAACCGCACCGTCTGCGAGGATGATTTGTGGTCAGCTAGTACAAGATCTTTGTACACCCGTCAGCACTGTCAGCACCATTCTGATGTTGCATTTTTACGAGCAGTCGATTCACTTGAGAGGACACAAACGCGTAAAAATTTCTTTATACGATCATGACTCCCAAGAACTCCACTCAAAATCTATAGTCTTCCATGATTAATCATATCATTCGTCGCTAAAACCGTCTTCAGTCTACACAGCGAGAGCAGAAAGAGCTCGCAGGAGGTTACCTCAACACTTTCCAAAGTCGCACAACAAGAAACAAGAGTCTTGTCATCTTTCACTAGGACCGTGTAATCATAAGAATCTTCGGCATTCTATCTTGAGTCAGTTTTTTGAAACGTACTTCTGAGCCGTTTTGACACATCTTTTCATACGTTTTTCATAAACTGAAAGCTGCCGTGCTTCACGAACACATTTCTTTCCACGAATTTGTTACTTGGGCCTACGCCGAAGGACTCCTTTATCATTCTTTTTCTTGGGAGCCTAGTAAGTATATGTTTCAACCAGCCTGCCAAGTTTTGCGACACGAACGCCACCTCAGTCCTGCTGATGAGACCAGTCCAGTAGAAAGATGCCCTCTATTTCTTCCATGTCTCAACGAAAGTGAGAGGTGAAGAATCAATCTCACTCTCAGCGAAACATGCTATAACATTTGCAAAGTCATGAAAGTAAAGACAGTGACGATGGGCCCAGCAGCGCACTTTTTGTTTGGACTGCAAGTTCATTGATTAATCACAAGGCCACATCGAAAAAACAGCAATGTGGAAGCAATGCCCAGAAAACTACACAGCACCTCCATGTTGAACAGAAAAGACATCTGAGAAACAACAAACTGATGAAACTGTGTGATTTATATGATTTTTACACCATGGCGTAAAAGATGACAAAGTCCGCAGCTGTGTGAAGAAAAATGGGAACGAGTAGCGAGCCAAAGCGCATAGCCACGCATCCCATGAGAACGCCGTAGATGGAAGTCAGTCCCACTCCCGCAAATCCGCTAGGTATGCCGTAGTAGTGAAGTGCACCAAAAGTGACTGCCTGAAGCAGCAGCGAAATGAGCCATGCGTAGTACGCAGCCCCCGATTCCGAGAACGTGACAAGGTACATATCCGGGTACTCGACGCGTCCGTAACTGTACGTTGAAGAGCCACCGAAAAACGCGGTCGTTGTCAAGCCCGTCGCGCTTTGTGCGTCTAGGAGCCGCGTCCGCGCATGGTGAAACAGCTTTTCCTGTACGAGGCCCCTAAAAAACACCTCTTCCACGTAGGCATTAAAGAACGAGACCCACAAGAGATTCACCAGCCGTGTTCCCTTGATCGGCAACATCGAGTAGTCGTTCCTCTGCCAGCGATGCCATAAAAGCAGAGTGACCCCTGTTCCGCCAATCATGACTGCGATCAATAGAGCGTTCTCAGTGGCCTGCTTATCCGCACCAAAGAAGTTTTGTACGCGATCACCGGAATACAAAGCATCGAGAAGCTGCAAAAAGGGTGTTGAAGACGCCTCGAAATTGGGAAGACGAAGACCTCCTTCAAGCAGCGCCGAAAACCCGTAAGAACATTCGGGCGCGAGGAATAAAAGACAAACGAGCATGACTAATTTCCACGCCCCGCCTGGGGGAAAATGTCTCGCAATGCCGGATGATGCAAACCACTTATCGTATCTTGCGGAGAAGAGCCCGAACTTGGCAAGGCTGTTGAGGACGATGACGCGCGCAAGGCTTGCGAGCGCTGGAGACGCAAACACGCCTAAAAAAGCAAGAAACGCGAGTGAGACATAATAACACAATCGCGAAAACCAGAGCCGCAGCCCTGAATCATACACACACTCGCGATCGTCACCGGCAGTCCTGTCGGTCACTGGCACGGAGAGTGTTCGTTGACTACTGCCACTACGAGAACTGCTGCTGCTAAGAGTATCACTAACTGGCGCACTTGCACTAGATTTGGTCTTGCATACGCCTGTCAGCTCTGTCTCGCCTGCAGCCATACTGCCCGAAGCATTGCGGCTGACACGTTCCTCCCTATCCTCCTTCACTAGCTTCAAGTTCGCTGCGCTGCCCAGCGCAGCCCTAGTGTTCTCTATCATGTGGTGTGGCCGTTGGATCTGCGTATACGTCAGGCAGAGATAGGCCACGAGAACAGGAGAGAGGTCGAGCAGCGAAACCTGCGCAATCGCACCGTAGCCCACCACCACCATTTTCTCAGGACAACAACACGCCAAACAGAGCGGAACTACTCCAGTTGCAACAAAAAACCTACATTTTCACTCTCTCGATCTAGGAGAGGCTCACGCTAGCTTCTAGTTCTATGTCTGTCGTGGGTGTAAGTTACATTGATGTTAAAATACTCATCTTTATTTCATGATGTTTCTTGTTCTCCTTGAATCTCATCTGACTATTTCACTATTTTCGGGGGCTCGGCGGAAAAGTAGACCATGCTCGCTTTGTTTCTTGTAGATCCAATGAAACGATAAAATCAAAATGTTTGTACCGCCGATTTCATTACCACACTGCTCAGCGAATCTCGGATGTTCCCGTGGCAAATTCACACGCTACGCCAGACTTGGTAGCGACCGCAAGCGAGCAATGGCTTTTCCTTTCCCTTGCGTTTCTGTCGCATCAAGTGCTTGTTATCAATCACAAGACAAACGAAGTCTGTCAAGAATCCTTCTTCTAGCATTCTTGTTGTGATACAAAATTGTCGTTCCAATCTATGCCATATTAACTTCGTGCTGTACGACACGATAATTTTCAGCCGGTATCTTCGACGTGCTCTTTCGGAACAGAGGTTCGTTGTTTTGCAGCCGCATCACAAGAATATATTGTTATATTCACATATATGGAGTTGCAATAGCCACGCGGAGTTGGAACAGGTCATTTTCAAACAACAAGTGGCTGAATTTACACACCCTGAAATTATGAATGAAAGAAACCTACAAAAGTACAAAATCACAAAAGGTCTGAAATCTTCTATTCCATGGGTACTGCCTGACCAAACGCTCCTAAAGGCATCATGCTCGAAGGAGCAAAGTGTGCTAGCTATTCACACGGCAGGGCGACCACTTTCACGACAATAATCTTCAGTCCGTGCTAGAAAAAGGAACTACTCTCTCACAGTGGGGCTAATATCAGGCTGCTATCCTCGATATAAACGAGAGGTAGAGTGGAAACAAAAAAAGTTTTCGACAAAGAACTATTTACCAAGACAACGGATCTGTCATTCCTCGCTCTCTCTGCTGTATCTGGCGTTGTTTCCGCCAACTAGAACTCGAGGAGCCTCGGTTAGAGTCTGGGCTTCTACAAACCTCTTCATCTGAGGTTCTAATCATGCCTATGCCTGAGCTTCTGCTACTAACGTCGTTTGCTGTTGACTCAGCTGTGGCAGTTTGCGGTGCTGCTTCTTCGACGACCGCAGAAAGCGGGGGATCTTCATCTGGCCTCGAACCAAGCAGCGCTGTCTTACGCCTTCCTCGCAGGCCTTTCTTCTTGCCGCTCGCTTCATTTTTCATCCCTAAGTCCTGTGCTGGAAGCTCCTCATCCGCACGATGAAATGGGTCTGCGGTCTTTTCGCAAGAGGAAGCGTCACCGCTCGAAACACCGTCTCCGCTACAAGCACCCTTGCAACTAGAGCAAGCTGGTACCACCGACGGAAGGAGCTGCTGCCCTGGGAGCATACGGTCTGAAGAGCACATGTGGTCTACAACGGGGGAGTCCGGCGCGTCCTCGTCTGAGCCTTCGCAAATTACGCTGAGGGCAGCCACGTGCCAATGTACTCGTGGGTCTGGATAGTCATTACTGTGAGCTGTGTCTTCACCATCTTGACCAGCTGAGCACAAGTCGGCGTCTTCTAGATCCTGTTGTACCTCCGGGTCATCGACACTCAAAGGATCAATGTGCACGCAGTGACCTACATCAAAATGGTCAAAATCAAGCTCCAGTAAACGAGTTGACGCCGGTTCCTCATCGACTTCGAAAGCTGCAGAAATATCACCGCTATTACCCCTTGCAAGAGCGGGTGGAGAAGGCCCACGAAATAATTCTATCAGAAGCTCCTCACGATCATCCGGGTTGAGGTGTCTCTCTCGAGACGCGATGCCTCCTCGACCTTGGGTAGTACGAGCGATGACTGGCTTCCTGAACCACCACTTTTCATCGTTTTCCGCAACCTCGTCAAGACTACCAGCAGCAGTTGTACTAAAATCGTCTTCTTCTACCTTACCCTGTTCGCGAAGGTATCTACTTATTGGTGCGATACGATCTGTCGCAGAGGACTTTGAAGTACAAGAGGCCGCCTCAAGCAGACCGTCGATCAGGGGATCCATAGCGTTGGAATCTTCAAAATCATCATCCTGTACACAACATCCAGCACCCGAAGGTCGCAAATTGTAGAGCACTACGCCACGGCTCCTACCCACAAACCGCCCGACTTCGAGCCCGAGCGTTGACAACAGATCAGCTCGGCCGTTCTTCGAGCTGTCATCGATGCACCTTCCCCGAATCGAAGACTCTTCCGATAAGTAACTGGCAATGCTGCAATCTTCGGGGGACGGGGAGGCTTCTTCAATTGCTCTGTATTCTAGATGGTCGCCTAACTGCCGCAACTTGAACGTCCCACGCTCCAACGCGAGTACGCGTGCTCGTATGTACCGCGTCCGCTTCCTTGGTTGTCTCGCTCGCTGCCCCACATTCGGAGCTTCATCAGCGTCATCAACATCATCATCATGACCAACCCCTGGAGTTTTCTCCACATTTTTAGGAGTAGAAGGAGATGATACGCGTTGGGGTGCTTCGCTTAGGACAAGCGTGTATTCTTCGTGTTCTGCGTCTGGAATACACCCTCGATCGTACTCGAATGGAAGTGCAAAGCTTAGCTGAGAAGTCAGGCTCGCAGAGAATGAATTACTCGACGTGTCTGGACTGCCACAACAACTTCTACTACTACCAGGATCTACTTCAACAGCGTGTTCATCTTGATTGTGGTCCTCGTGTTTCACATCGTTAAGACACGTGACGTTGGTCTTGATTGACATTGAGTCTACATCAAGTCTTATAAAATCCGATAGAAGTTCTTGATCACGAGAACCGCTGAATATTTGCTTCCTGTCTTTCGTACTTGCTGTACTTTTTGTACTAGCGACTACTCCTCGACGTCGACGGCGGCCCACCTTGTTGTTGAAACTACAAGCTTCCAGTGCTGCCGCCAGGTGCAATACCGTATTGCGCTCCTCCTCCGGTGGCGTCAGTGAACGATGCGTCCCCAAGCGACCGAAGTCTGGGAGGTCGGACTCAGCGTCCAAGCGATCTGAGAACCGCTCCACAACCACAGCATTGTCCTGCTCAAGGACATCGGGGGTGTTTCTGGTCTCATCTTTCTTTTCACTATTCATCTTTCCAAGGTCTTCTTGTTGTGACGCCGAGAGTAAACTGTTAAAGTAATGTCCACGCAGGAGGTCTTCTTCATGTCGTTGGCCTTCGTGAGAGGAGGCAGCTCGCTGTTCATCTTTAGTCTCGTTGCTATCTGTAGAAGCACATCCTCGTCTCTTCTTGCGCTTTATCGTCTTTCGAATTCTTCCTTCCCTCAGTAAGGTATCTGTTGAGCAACACGCTACGTCTGAAAAATCGAACTTCTCGTTCTCGTCTCCTAAGATGCGATACACACGCGACAGGTCGTCTGCGCAATCATCTTCCAGCAGGAGGAACGAAGACACCGGAGAACCACAAGTGTAGTTCTCGTCTTCGGCATTGTCATCATCTACTTCACACTTTATCTCTAAGCCACTAGGTACTTTCTCTTCGCAGTGGCCGCTGCCCAGACTTCGATTTTGCGCTGCACCAGCACTACAAGGCGGCTGGGATTTATCAAACGGGTCATCCAGGTCATGCCCCCCTGGACCGGCCGAGTGGCTCTCATCTTCCACAACCACGCCTTCTGTGGTGCTGCCGCTGGAGCTCTTCGAGTCAAGACGACTGCCTCTGGGAGTCAGAGTGCGCCGCACGTCCACCTGGACGCGCGGGCTGAAGAGCATCAGCAAATCACGAGCGACAGTTGCCGCGCGGTCTTCGGGCGCATCAGAAACTTCTGCAGCCTCGAAGCAAAGCTCGGAGCCGCGTGGCAATTTACCAAAGCTGAATTCATGTATGTCAACCTCCTGTGAGGCCTCTTCCGTCAGTATAGACGCTTCGCTTCCCAACGAGTCAAAAGTTCTGCTGCGCTCCTTCACATCATCCTTCTGCGAGCAGGTACTATCTTCATGACCGTCAACATCATGACCACGTCCAGCAGCATTTGGAATCTTCGAAGCATCCTCTTGGATATGTCCTGCTGATTTCATCGGCCAGGACGTCGCAGCCGCATCACCTGCTTCCTTGCTTCTGTGCAACCGCACCAGTCCCTCCGTCCTAAAAGCTCTGTGCTCGGAGACTGGACTCGACTGACGTGAGTTTTTGTCTGAAATTTCGCTCAGCGCGCTTTCCAGCTCCACAAGTCGTAGCTCATCTGCTAGGGAACACTGTTTTTTGCGACTACTCCGTTGCTCGCGGAGATTACTGAACGCGTACGGGGCCGTTCTCCACACCCTTTTGTTGCGCACCCGGCCGGCCTGGTTCGGTGAGGCCACTATTCGCGGAATATCAACCACTACAATAGCCTCACTTGGTTTGCTCGTAGAACTCGGAGACGCATCCTTTCTGGGAGTCGTCCACATCGGCGCTTGCGCCACAGTACCCTCCAAAGCAAGCGGCGGCACAAACGTTCGCTCTTGCCTATCCCCGCTGCTCGCCCGACTTGTTCGAGCTAGTTCCAACTTGGAGGACCGCTTTCCCGCGTAGGACTTCTTTGGTGGTGCTTTGTTTGTATCATCTACCTTCATGTCGCCAAGGAAAAACATAGTTGATGTTCCACTTTGTTCGCTAATCATGCTGGCGACAAGAGGATTGTCCTTCTCTTCCACCATCTCCAACTCAATTGAAGACGTAGCACTATGAGATCCATCGACCTGCTGTGGGAAGCTAGGCAATTCATCAAGGTCCTCGCGCGAACTAGTGCGCTTAGGCGAAGCAGGATTTAATCCAATGGAGTTCATCTTGCCCGTCTTCGATGGAGCTAGAGAATATGGCTTCGCAGCAACATATGAAGTGGAGCCCGCAGCAGATATCAAATCACCTAAAATCTTTTGTTCTTCATCTACACGAGCAGCTGCATGATCTAATCTCATGATTACGTCGTCTTCGGTTGTTGTTGCGTGGGACTTCGACTTCATCTTCGGTTCTTCTGTAGTCCCGCTCCCAGTACGACGACCATTTCCATTATCATTCTCCTCTGCCACAATAGGTCCATCTACAAGCGCTGCTGCTACAGTGTCACTGAGACAAACGATCCGTGGTGGAGGCGGGTAGCAACTTTGCGGAGAGGCTCGTGGCTTGGCACTGGATGGACTGGATTGAGGGCTGCCGCAGCCGCTCTTGGGCGAGGCTGTACTGCCGCAACTGAATGGACTATGACTACCGCTGCTGCTGAGACGGACGACTTTGTGCTTCGTCGGTCGCTTCGTGGGCAACATGACTGGATCAAAGGTCAGCAGTCATTGGTCACTGACTCTGAACGGGACAAACAGAGCTTTCCCCTTCTTCCCTTAGATTTCCCGTGTTGTCTCAAGGGATCTCCGCGCCGGTGTCAGTGACCAACTTCAATGACCAATGAAAGTTGAGCCTTAACTGGAAGCTTCGAACCTGTGGCAGAAACAGGATTGACGGCATTCTTCGGAAGGACACTGGAGTCTTGAACACTAGCTGCACCAGAAACCCCAGTACATTCGACCACATTGACAAACGAAGGAGAGCCCGGCGAGGACTTGGGCGACGATGCCTGTGAGGTTCGAGTCGCTGATGGAAGTCCCGCGGCGGGCCTCAAATAATTGGGTAAGGATGTGGCTTTCGTGACGAAAGGTTTTCTCTCTTCAGCTACGTGCACGCCAGGTGCAGCCGCGCCACGCGGTCCCACCGAGGCCCCACGTGATACAGTAGTAGCATCACGGACGCACGAAGGTACGCCACCGGCAACAGCAACTGTGCTTGTAGGGTTCTTTGCTTCAGACGTTGCTGTCGCTCCTGGCTGCGTTGTTACTGCGTGCCTCGGTGTCGCTGTGCAGGATAAGCCGCACTTTTTCTTGCACTTCCGCGTTCGTGTACCGGATACCCGCACGATGCCGCCATCAGACCCTGCGCCCCGCGCCGACGGGAGTCCTGCCGCACGCGATGTGCATCCGCCGCTCCATGGAGAATAGTATCCAGAACACGGATTCGGCGATAATCCCACTGCGCCTTTCGCCCGAGCACTGCATTTACCTCCCCAGGCACTAGAAGTCGAAGAGACCTCCAGCACTGCAGACGGCATATTTGCGCTAGCACTTATTGCAGGTGTCGACGTCGCTGCCTGCTGTCCTGGGACGACATTTTTGTAGCTTCCACTTGTACTCGATGAAGGTTTCCCATCGGGTCCGGTCGACGACAAGTCTGGAGGATGCAGCGCTGAGCGGATGTGATGCGCAATTCTCTTAGCAGCGCCGAAGCGACCACCGCGGCCAGGGCTATGCACTACGGCCTCAACCAGCAAGCACAATTGAAGTAGTAAGACACACAAAAACACTTTGGGAGAAGCCATGGTGAAGTGATTTCTGGAATGAAAAACGAGATGTTTTGCTGTATGGCTAATCGACAAGGAGCAAGATATTGATTATTTTGCGATAAAATCCTTCGTGCGAATCGGATTTCATTCATAGGAGAAGTTTATTATGTCAAAGAGCAGATGTTTTTCTAGCATTGAATTTGAAAAGTATGCACTAGCTACGTTTATCATGTTATAATTGTTGGTACAATGTTCTCTTTATATATCTTCGCAGACAAATTATCACGAGAATATTAGACCGCTAGCTGGGCTCAAAAATCCAATTCCTATTTTTGTTTGAATTGTGAAAAATCGCTAGGATTCGCAATCAAAAATCAGTCCAGTTCTTGGCTGAGTGACATATTAGTAAGACTTTTCTTTGTCTATTTGGTTCTATGGCTTGTCCTTTGGATCTTTCTTGGCTCTACGGATCTGCGAACCGACTCAGCAATGATAACCAACAGGCCTCAAACTTCGGCGAGATACTTTCAGCCTTTCGACGTCGTCTCTGCGAATGCCCAGCACTTGCAGTTCATACTCAGCCGGAAGAGAAACAAGGCATCTCAATACAAGAATACGTATCGGAGGAGTTGTCCATCAACAAAATTGTAAAATTCACCGAAAACAAATGCTGGATGATTATAATCTGCAGGACAAGAATGTCTAGGATGGGCGATAACCCTACTCCCCCGATTTCACACAGAGCTTAGCACTCGGGCATCTCGAAGCCTGGGTACTCGCGTGCTGAAGAGGTATGAGAAAATGTCACATCATAGGAAGATAATACAACAGATATACTTACTTGAATATACATCAGTTCCTGGTAGATTATTGACATCTACCTCGTGCTCGTAAGGAATTGAAGATCCGCTAAAAATGAATTGAGGTATAGCACTACTAACCCTGTCCTTGAAGTGCGAGACAAGGAACAACATGAATGTGCTTGAGGACCTAGTTGTTCAGCTTAGTTATCCTGCAGCTTTTCAGTTTTCAGTCGCGAAGAACATCACTAAAAGTACTTATAATGGTACCATGATTCTCCCAAGCAATCTTTTCCCTGTCATTGATCCACTTCATTGCCATATAGCCAGGCATTGTCGGATCGATTTCACCAGCACGTTTCGCATTACAGAGGTCCATCCAATACTGCCAACGCACGTTAGCATTCTAAGAAGTGGTGATAGCAGTAGTGGTAGTGCAGTGTGCCTATTCATGAGGTAGAACATAGCATCGCATAGTTTCAATCTTCAACTACAAAGAACTTGCTTAGCGGCGAGAATAAGAAGCAGACAAAGAAACTGTGCTGAATAAAGAAAGCACCAAGATAATGAGAAGTGATACCCTATCTCGCGGTATGTCGTAGTACTGTTCGAAGATCCAATTTCCAACGAACCCGCTAGCCCAGCCTGCCATTACGTAGCGGTTAAACCACATAGGGTGCATTGCCCTGTATCCCCCCATTTTAATCCACTCGGCTGCTGTCTCGGTTAAGGAGGTAATAGAATATGTAGTAGGAACTCTAGCTGCCCCTCATGTGACAGCTACAAGATGCTGTGATCTAAACGAGAAACGAAAGCCACTTCAAACGGCTCCCACTAAAACAACTACAAGAATCAGAATAATTCATATACCAGCATTGTTCTTAGCGGGATCAATTTTGATAAGACTCTTTTATGCTCCGGCACATATCCTTTTCCTTTCATCTATCTAGCGGGTTCATGATGAAGCTTAGGCTCAAGTGCGGGACCTAGCATGGGGAAAAGGCACTCATGTCTCCACGGCGCGAGGAAACTCTCAGCCTCGCATAGGGTTCTCACTTCTGGGTATCAGAGCTTAACTCTCACTCATAAAACTGAGGCTTTCCAGTGGTTCGGCAACAAAATTAGAGTCCCCTCTAGATGCTCACCATTACCTCTCCTCAATTCTAAACACACTACTCTCAGGACTCTGCAACGGTTGCGAGGTACTTTCTCAGCTTTGTCACTCTGCTGGTGCTGCTCCGAAGATGACGTAGTCACATCTCACAACGTGAGCGAAGTGTGGCCTTCAGCTATCGGTCCTTGAGACACAAGTTCTCTCCTTCTTTGGAACATGAAAAAATTTCGATTTTCGAAACAAGGAAAATAACTACGGAAAAAGATAGGCTTCCGTAGATACATGAAAGTCGTAGGGCATAGGGGAGGATCGGCCATGAGGTGCTAGGGGAAAAGTGTAAGCGGCGCACAGGAGATGCCAGTCAAGGTAGTTGTGAGGGTGATTCCTGAGGACGGAATATGGACAAGTTTGTGCTCATCAGCATCCTTGATGTGTGTGGATGAGTCAATGCGTTGCCAATTCGACAGAAGGAGAATGAGGGCACAGCTAAGAGGACACTCAGTCGAGTGGCTCTGCGATCTCTTCCGAGGCATCCTCTAACACACCACTGCCAGTCGAGACTCGGGGTTCCATCATCGCATCTCCGTCCTCATCGAGGCCTGGAGACTGTGTTGGTTCGTCTGAAAGACCGCTTTTATCAAGGGCTTTAGGCGAACTTTCGTTCTTCCTAAACCCTTTTTTCGTTGGTGATTCTTGCGCACCGAGGTTCGCTGTCTCAATGGTCTCTTCAGATTTCTGTTCGTCTGGACAAACTCCTGCTGCGCTACTGTCATTTTCTGTCGGTAGTTTTCCTTGTTCATCCTCAGGGACTATAGCTCCAGCATCAGCATTGGCCGATGTCTCCCCCTCTTTCCTTTTCCTTGACTTTTTTGGTACGACTTTGCGACCAGGAGGAGCCGCTTCAAGCTCTACCTCCTCCATATCGGAATCCAGATCCACGTTATCTCCTATCTGCACACGCACACCGGAGAAGAGCGTTGTTGTCGTGTCCAAATGACCAGATGCCACGGATTTGGAAGAAGCTACTCCTGAAGGGCAACCTGCGTTACTAGTCGATGTACCCGCAACACTCCCTACTCCAGAAGAAGCGGCTGGATCATTAATTGTGCCGTTTTGATGCTCAGGCGCTGAAGAAGACCCATCCTCGAGTTCACTGCCTCCTCGATCGCCCTCCTTTGCTGCGCCACTGGTCTCCTGGCCGGCGGCCGCGTCTATCGCTGCATTAGCTTCCATGCTTTTTTCGCTCATTTCCTTTGCGGAGTCTCCTCCTGGCTTGTTGGCCGCGTTTGAGGATGCGCCTTTGTTTTTCTTCTTTGAGGATTTAGTGTTCCCACTAGTTGAAGAGGCTGAGCCTCCGCCTGTATTGTTGTTGCCCATAGCACCTGCAGCTGCTCCGCTAGGTCCAACGGCCGCAGAAGAGGACCCTCCAACTGACGATGTTGACGGGTGATGCCATTTCGCCCAGTACTGCTCTTCGCCTGTTGCACACGATCTTGCTAGCTGTATCAATGCTTCTAGCTTTCGCGCGCTTTGCTCTGGCGGGCAAAGCGCTATCACCGGTCCCTGCGAGACCGCTTTATTCTTCTTAGTACGGTTACCGCTTAGACCCTCTTTTTCCGTCGTCGTTAACCTGCGAAACTCAACATACCAGCTCGTGGCATTTGTCAAATAGCTGCGCAACTTCAGAGTCTTATGAAAGTGAGAAGCGGCGCCAACGAAATAGCCCAACTCACGGTCGCCAAAAGTTCGTCTCCACGTACAGCTGCAGAAGAAATAGTGGTTTCCGAAAAATAGTAACTGTTCGTCTCTTAGCAGACACAATCACATGATATTTAATTCTCGTCGTCTTATAAACTCAAGCAAGGACAGACATAGATATTCAAAACAGTGGCAGACAAAAAGAAGAAAAGACAATATTACACGACACTGAGCGAGCCGTTCTCCTGATCCCACATGCCGATTTGCTCGTTTCTCCGTACCAAGAGTGGTGGGTTTAATTCCAATACTTGCAGCATGTTGTGGGTATTCTCTGCTACCGTGACGAACGAGCACGGTGTACCTAAGAATTTGTTTGATGATGTTAGTCGGATCGGATTGGACCTACGACTTCCCTGAGTCTCTTCTGTGTTCTACGCATTTCTCTGATGTTGAAGCTGTGAAGGTGCAGCTCCTTTGTCTCTACAGCGGCGCCATTCGTTGTGGGCGGGAGGTTCTCGCTGCTCGCGTTTCCCTCTGTTATGCTCCTCCAACGTTCTCGATCTAGACAGTCCTCGATTCTGGCAGATCTAGCCCCTAGCTCTTTCGGAATTCTGTCCGCCCCCTTTTCTTTCGGTCGTCCTGGTCTACACGATCTAGTTGGTTTCTCTGCATTTGTTTATGAAACATTTACTTAGCGTATTGCTCTTGTCACAAAACATGCATGGACGAGGGAAAAGCGGTTCCAGGAAACTAACACCTCACTATTTGATTTTGATCATGTACCATCTTGTTCTCATAGTACAATCTGTGCTAACGATAGAGCAGCACGCAGGTGAGGCAACCTCGACTCCTGTGTGCAAGGAGGGAAGCTCTTGCTCGCAACTAATAGTTATCACGATGAAATACCCGTTTTTTCTGCAGAGTAGCTGCTCGTAAACATCCCTGCATCCTCGTTTACTCGGAAGGAACAGAGGGATAGTTTTTGTGGACGGGGGTTTATGTTCCAATAATGGAGCTTTTCCACGTAACAGTGGTAAGGCGCCTTCCCGCTCAAAATCTGGAGGGGCACTTGTTCTGTTTTCGTGAAGTACTTACGCGCCACATCGCTGTTGATAGGCAGCACGGAGTCACCAATCACAAAACTCGCCATGACTTCTACTTGCGGAGTTAAAGCTTTAATTAGATGTATTACCCTCGCGGCGGTGGGTTAGAGAATAGTGCTCAAAGAGTTTCTTTCTAAGTGATGGTTCAATCAACTTCTAGTTCAGTCACGTCAATGCATCGTCGTACTTAACTCCTCACCCGAAAAAAGCAGAGTAAGCTACTACAAAAAAAGCAAAAGTCTCACTTCCACCTGTACAGCTAATTCTGCGTGGAATAAGGATCACACATTTGCAAGTCGCCAGGGCACCCAAGCGCTATTTCTACTTGCCAGTAGCAGTAGACGCAAGAGAATGGCAGCATGCATTGAATTCAAAGGCTGCGTAAACAGATTTGTTCAACGCCAGACCATTCTTTAAAGTTGATCGAAGACCTCACAATTCGTCGTCGCTTGTCGCCCGAGTCGTTGCTGCAAATATAGACGATTACAATTTATTACCGAAAATCTTCAACATTTTTGATTTCGCATGAAGCCTGAACACACGCCGATCCGAATGACTTCAGGTTGATGAGCCCGTTTTTGAAATTCAATTTTCATGCTGCACTGCTGGGTACATTCAGAATTTCTAATTGATGTCTAGTTATGCCAAACATTCATCCTCCTGTTCTTGTGACCTTGTTGTGCAATGAATTTCTTTCTTTCTCGTCTCTTCCTGCCACAAGCTCCTTTGTTTTATGAGCAACTTGATCAACCTCCACTGCAACAACTGCCTGCACGGCTTCCCGGATCAGACTTGTGTCGTTCGACCGCACCAGTGCGCCCACAACATCGCTAGCCGTACTAGGTATTCCTTCTTGTCCAACTACCGCGCTTTTATGCCTATTTACCATTTTCTCCAAGATTTTCCAGTCTGCGGCGGCTGCTGCACTTCGTCTGGTTCCCTCAGCATCGCGCGCTTTCAAGATTTCGCGTTGCGCAAGAGCAAAAACGTCATCCACAGCACTCCTTCTTCTAGTAGCTGCACCCATTCTTGATGTTTGGTTAGCATCATCATCAGGGGAACTTCCCAGCTGCCCAGCAGCTGCTCCAGAAGACGTGAGCGGACGACCTAAGCTGTCCACTTTTTTACCCAAGGGAATACGAGCTGCCGCTGCCTGCATCAAGGCCAGGGCAGACATGCCTTTTTTCGGGTTGGAAATGCTAGATCTCCTAAGTAGTTCACTGTTCATCGTCTCTACCTCATTTTCCTCAGCGTAGATAGGACAACTGGCATTGCTAAGCTTAGCTTGATTCATCTCCACTATGTCATTTTTTTCAGAAGCATTGTTCTCTATGTCCTCGCTGACGAAAGCCAGTTGCAACTTTGCGATGTCCGAGCAGTCCCCAACACTTCCGTTCCTGCTTCCGGGACGCAAAAAGTCACGCAGATTGCCCGCGGCGCCCACATTGCCTGGAATGGTTAGCAGTTTCCCCGAGTCAGCGAGGACCAACTGTGCGGTCTGGAGACAGTGCCATTTGGATTCGTAGGGGCGCAATAGTTCGTAGCGTTCCGTTTCAGACTTAGGCAGATCCTCAATCGTCACCCACGTTGTGCGCTGTTCGAGCTGTTCTAGCCAAAAGATATTCTCCTGCGTCAAACCAGCCAATGGGTCATCATCATCATCATCATCAACTGCCTCTCCGCCAAGACGGGTAGCTTTCTTCTTTGCAGCCATCTTTTCAGCACGGCGTTTCGCTCTTCGTTGGCTAGCAGATACTTCCTGCGAACTCTGTGTAGTTGACTTATTTTTGCCTCGTTCCTTTACCTTAGGTTGCTTATAGTTACGATCTAGCACTTTTTTCTCCGAAGACAATGGAGATTTTTTCTCCCCAGCGAGTTGAGCACCATCTTGCCGCTGTTTTTGTTCATTCGCATGTTGACCTGCTTTTGCTTTTTTCGCGGCTTTCATCTCGTTTCTTCGTTTTTCTAATTCCGCTAGACGGTCTGCCGCTGACGCAATGCGCGCACCGCCACGCAGGACTTCCGGCAAATACTCGCTCTCAGGCAATAGTCGTTTTTGCGCGATGCAGTCCTCGAGCCATGTCGGTAGGACTACTTTGTAGCGCTTCTTCTCACGTTTCTCCTTATATTCGCGCCAAACCTGGTTCCCCATGGCTAGATTTTCAGCGATGATGTGCGTGACGCGCGTCATTCCGTAAGGTTCGAAAACACCACCATGCTGCAAAATCATTTTGCGGATCTGCATGTCTGTCAGACGCGAGGTTCTACCGGTCATCCAAAATGTCAAACCCGAAAAAAGCTGTGCGCCTCCTGACCGCTGTGGTCTTCGCAACTCGAAGGTCGCCAATTTGCGAACGATGTCTTCCAAGCAAGCCCCTTTCTGTGCGGCGTTAGAGTCAACAAGCGTCAGAGGCTTGTTCGGCCCTGGAGCTGCCATGTCAGAAGGCATCCCTTGCTGAGCCGCGGCACCGATCACTCCTGTAAAAGAAATATTGTGAATATGCAATCCAACATTACTTCACCAACGAAGGAACTTAGCATGCCCATCGAAAGTAGACAACGAGGCAATAGAAGCATGTTAGAAGTGACGTTCTTGGATGTCTAGGGTATAAAAGGAATCTATCTACAGGCATTGGACCTGCACTCGCCGCAGCAGCAGCTCTCTGTTGCTCTTTCATGCGCTCTGTTCGAACTTTCATGTAGATGCCACGACTATCGAATATTGTTGATGTGTATGAGTGCTCGCCGGCTTCCGCTTGTTTTCCAGCAGCATTGAAAACCAAGTCCTCCTTCTTTTCATCTTGCTGTTCGGTCCCTTCTTGATAGGAGGTTACCACTTTGTTATTCTCCACTGCGGGAACAATCTGATTAATTCCTGCACGACCAACTACGTCGCCTCCATGCGTTCGTTCCCGCCGCTCTCGTCCAAGAATGGCTTCTTCATCCGCATTTGGAATGAGACCCATCCGATCTGAGGTAAATTTCAGGTACTGTTCCTTCATACGTGCGCTTTTCGTTCGCATATACTCGCCACCGGAAATCCAGGCGTTGGAGTTCGCGTATCCCCCTCCGATGACAGTCCCACTCAAGGTCGTGAAGCCCAGTTGCTGTTCGCCGGTCGCTGCGGGAGCCTCTTGCTCGTCTGTCACAATTGGAGGTAGTTGCGCGATTGCGTTCGAGTTCGTCTGGGGCGACGATACTATTTTCAAGCCTTGTCGCTCCTGTGCGCTACTATGTTGGTCGTGCTGAACTAGTTGCTGATTCTCTTGAAGATGCCCTTGCGCTCCACTCAACTGCACACTAGAAGTTGCGTTCAGTTGTGCCTGTAGTTCTGCAACACTCCCAGCTGAGGCGCTCCCCGCTCCACCGGGAAAGAATCTCTTACCACTCGACCGCCGTTTTTTCGGATGATGCGATGCGACACTTTCAGGTTGAGCGGGACCTCCGAAGCCTTGTTGAGCTCGCGAAGGTGCTGACCCTGCGCCTTGTACTATGTGAGCCGAAAAGCTTGCCGATCCAAATCCAAATCCCCCTCCAAAATCGTTCGTCGAAACTACAGAAGCCGGCACAGTAGAGGAACCACCAGCAAAGCCAAAACCAGTAGGAGTTGAGGTATTTCCTGGTAGTCCTGAAAAAGTATTTCTGTTTCCGCCAACCACTGCTCCTCCACCAAGAGCAGTTCCTCCAAAGCCAGTTTGCATATTGCCAAAACCGAAAGAACCGAAACCGCTCGACAAAATACTAGTCCCTGCAAGTGAGGGAGCAACGGATAGAGCAACAGATTGCGAAGCTCCAGCCAGTGGACGTTGTTGGGCACTGGAACTCGACGACGGAGGTATGTCAGGAAAGTCGGATAATCGGAAAGAATAACTACCAGATCCTACATCGTGAGGGTTTCTGGTACTTCTAGTGGTCGGCACAGATACTGGTCTTGCAGGAGGCGCAATAGAATGTTCTATTTGCGTTCCCCTTCCCACTAGAGCAATAGCAGCTGGCGGCTGCTGTTCGGCGTAAATGCTTGGACCAGCATGATGCCCACTTGAGTTCGAAGCAATTGCTCCTCCAGCCGCACCCAAGAGGTTTTGCGGTGGCCTTGTCGCAGCGACCGGCGCATTATGTGCGCGATGCAGTGCGGGACCGGGCGCCGACACACCTGGCGACGCTTGGCGTTGTCCATGATCAATGTGAAGATCCGCAGAGTTGTTGACATTCGCAATGTTGTTATTCGCAGTGTGCTGCCGCAGTAGCTCCTCAACGCTCCTGCTAACGACGGGACGGAGAGGCGGAGCGCGCCAGGAGGCTGGCGCACCTAATGGTTTTGGTCCTTCCTCCTCGCTCGACACGTCCACAATATCGTCCACTAGAGCGCGTTTGCGATTGCTGGGAGCGCTCATCTTTTTTTCGTCACGAAAGGGGCTATCATCCACAGAAGCCACTTGCAAGCCACTTCCTATGTACCGTGCGCAATGCGATCTAGAAAAACGCCTCTGCTTTTGCCCGGCGTCCTAGAAGCGACGCTGGCTGTGTGTTGCGGCCGTGCTGGAAACACCATGGACTTACATTTGACCATCCGTGCAAACGTTGACAACAATTCATGCGATCAAGGAGAAAAACGGGCTGGCATCGGTGATTGAATTTTACAATTAGATTGATTCAACAAACAATGCCTCGGCAAACGGAATCACTTAGCGCTAGTTTCAGAGGGCATCAGAAGATGTTATCATCTATTGAAGACAAGTAGGCCGCACGCTAACCTGCTGAAAGCTTCATGAAGGCATAGTGGGACGACAAAACAAAAAAAGCTGAGCAATCCTGTTTGTGGGTCGTGAGCTACTTTATTCTATGTTTATGAGTTGTTAGACCGAGAAGTGAATTCAAAATCACCTCCAAGCCAAAACTCGACTAGTACTCTTCATTATGCTTACAAATTTACTCCAATTTCTTGTTTAACGGATTGCTTCAAAACACAATACTGGCGCCATACCCAGAGCGAGGCCGCTCGTCCTTCAATTCTTCGCAAGTTTGATGTTAGTTCTGAAATATTAGCATCAACCTGAAGAAACGATTATGTAATTGAAGATGCAATTCATTCGCAAAAAGCAACGACGAGATCCTTCTAATGTAGACAGTCTGTGCAAACACTGGCACACACAAAACTTTCGTTGCGCACTTGCGTGATTTTGCCTGAAATTAGAAGTTATTCGCCAACTTAAATCTATCAGAAACAACGTCCAGAAACACACCTAATAACAAGTATTCATGTTAAGATAGCACACCACACTCTACAAAGTCCTCTGCACGACACTGGTTCGCAACCAACTAGGAGTACTGGTAAGTCACATATTGGGAAGTATGACACACAACGAAACAAACATCAATGGGGATGGCAATACGTGATGGCACCAACAAACCACGTCACCAGACAAAATAAGAAACCATTATCTGTGTGCCTATTTCGGAAGGAATGATAGTCCCAATGAAGAATATTCAAACCGATATTGTACACGTGACTTGAAAATAAAACCTACTCCAAGCGTACTGTAGTCAAAATCTAAATATAGGGAACAACCATTAGTGTTGGTGATTATAGTAAAGTGCAAACTCAAGAGAAAGTACCACGCTAGAAGAGCTGGAGTAAGCAAGACCAGATGAGAGTCACATAGTCAGGGAAATATTGAAAATCTTAACCAACAAGGGGGAAAGGGATCAAAAAAGGCTAGCCCAGCCAGAAGAGGGGAAGACCTGTGTACACCCTTGAGCCAAAATGGCTCGGTCGGTCGGTCGGTCTAAAATCTAAATATATTACTGAGTACTAGTATCTAACATCGTAATGGAAACCTGTTGAGTATATCCCTGAATCTGTCTTCGTACCGCTGTAGGTCTAGGTATTTCTTTCATTTAAGCACTTTAGTGCAGGACCTTCTGATGATCATTCCACTCTCGACATAGAGAGCACTAGAGGTTCCCCCACAGCGTCATCCTCGCTGTTGCTTGCGAGAGCCTTGTTGTCACCACAAGGCGAGCACGGCAGGCACCGCAAGAGGACACTGCTATTTCGTTGCACTCGGCTCGCTGTAGTTGGACTGTTTTTCCGGCTATTTGAATTTGAGTTGTTCTTCACTTGGCTTAAAGTAAAGGCCCCGTCTGCGTCGCGATTGTCCGTCACGCCCGTAAGATTAGGTGACGGTAGTTCCTGGAAACTAGTAGTAGCCTCAATGCGTGATGGCATTTCTTCGCCCTGTTCGGTCAGCAGTAGCGGACTTTTTTTTTCAGCATCACGAGTAGTCGGAGGCGCCCTACCCGCAGATGCAGCAGTGATGTCGAGCAACACAGCGGCAGATATTTGGGAGAGTGACAGGTCTTGTATTTCGTCTGAGACGTCCTGATTATGGTCGCGTTCTTGTTGTGCCGTCTTGCTATTTGCTCGGTCAGGAGGCCTTTCTTCAACAGTGCGTCGGGTGCTACGTGGAGAACGCTGCTCATTGGAATCGGTTGATCCTGTTAGCAGAGGACCTGGCTCAGCGTTGTCGGCAACTGTTCTTGCCCCTGCGCTTGCGAGCATGACTGCTGCCCCGTCGCCTAAATTATGGTAACCGATGGTTGAGGTCGTCACTAAGCCATTCGGGGAACCAACACTGAGCTGGGAGTCCTTTTTTCCGCGACGTTGTTCAGGACGTTCACCTAGCCGAATCGGTCTTGCGTCAAAGCGACCCGTAGACGACGGACGCTGCATCGCTTAAAGGCGAGCTATACTGGTTTACCTTTGTGCCCCTCTTTCATGGTATTGACATACTTAGGTGAAGATAGCGAGCATTTTCTTTCGGATTAGTTCTCATCAAAAAATCGAGTGGCTATCGAATTTCCGGGACGCATAAAAAGACATCGTTATCCAGTGGAAGAAACCCAGCCTTAAGAAGTTCCGGCAGTTTCGACGTGATGAGGAAATGCGGACGCGGACAATGTGTCCGTAGGAGACCCATTGACTGAGCCACTGAGGCTGGCTGCGCCACTTGGGTTGTAGAAGTTGCTCAAACTGCGCATTTTGCCGGAATCAGAAAATCCTGAAGAAGGAGATGGAAACTTCGACGTCCGTGTATCACTCGGCCTGATAAGAAATCCGCCACGCTCTTGCACAGTTTGCCACGTCTTTGCTTCATTAGGAAGTGACTCGATCAACGACGAGTTGTTTTGATACACGCTTCCGCAACATTAGAAGCAGTAGCGCAGATGGTACTGACGTTGTTCAGATTCTCGGTCCAATCTTTGTATACGCTGACGACTCAAGAAGCATCGCGCTGATAGCTTGTACTTTACCGTACCAAGTATGTCTCTTCCTTGCTTTCCCTTTTACAGTTGAACGAGAGTACATATACCATAAGACGCAACGCTCCCACTGAGAGAAACGCTACTCCCCAAGAGGTCGCTGCGTTTCTGCAGACGGAAATTTCGATGCCTCAATTTCGACACTTCCTTCTTTTGTGCCTCCAATTCCTGCTTCAATTTTGCGACAAGGATGCTCTCCCGCGCCTTCTGTGCCCCAACTGCATCGACTACGCTCCCCGGATCCGCACCCTGCTCCGACAGCTGCGCCGCCGATGGATCTAGGCAAAATGAGTATGTAAAGCTGTGCCAAGAATGAAACAACACAGAAGATACACATTTCAGTCCAGGATAGGAAAGAGAACAATAGTGATCCGTGATACCTAACAGTATGACTAACATGTAGTGTCCTATGCAAATCAAAATACCTTCCAGCAGAGCCGTGGACGCCAGTCTTTGGGACGCGACCTTCGCACGAAGGCGTGTGACTTCAGCTGTCATCTTGTCAAGTTCTTCCTTTCGTTTCTTCTCATCGCGCTCGCGGATGAAATCATCTGGGTCCGTCTGCGTTCCCTTCGGCACTCCGCGATAAGGGCGAAATGTGCGGTTCCTACTATCCCGTCCTTCACCCGAAGCGGACGCAGGCGTGACTAGTTTGGTGAGAATTCAATCGACTACGGAAGTGGTAAATAGCAGTTGCAGAACACAGAATTATATTAGCACTCAGCAATTGCAATTTCGAAGAACAAACAGTGGAAATATGCACATAGGAATACAGCACAGGAAAAATGGGTACCAGCAAGACTCGCCGTACTTCCTGGCATTCGGCCACCCCTTGTTTCTCGTGCGGCCGCGGCCTTCGCTGCAGCTACCGGATTTTGTTCCGCACCACCCTGATCTACCAGTCTTGATTTAAGATTCGTGATTGTCCGCTTTGCCTTCCCCATCCGAGCATGCAATTCGTCTTTTTCCAGTTGCACATCGATCAGATTTTGCTGCAGGGAGTCACCGCGCCGCGTCTGCGCTAGGCGTTCGGAGCGCAGACGCGTATTGTCCGCGTTTTGCCGGTCCACCTCCTCGAGCAAAGACCGAAGCAAATTCACCGGAATCACGAAATCGCCGGTCATGTTTTGCAGTTGCGATCGCAAGTCCGCATCAACTAGCTGAGAAGTCTCGTACTGCTCTCCCGGCGAAGAAGGCCTGCCAACATCCGACGCCCTGTTGGAAAAGGGCGTTTTATGCGAAAAAACACAAACAGAAAACAAAGCTGTAAAAAAATGTCTATCTAAAACACAGAGAACGGTGGGCACTCAGAACAGACATGATTATTCTCGTGCGAGGCCGACCTGCAATCCATCTGAAATAAGCATGCAGACCCCAGAATTTCAAGTGGAAATGCAATTCAGCAGCTGACAATGAAAGTCGGCTTACAACTAACATACTACAGCTGATTTCTGCGTATCTCTTCACGTAGCCTGGATTCCGCGCTTTGGACTTGAGGCGGATCTTCCTGCAATCCCGGCACTGGTGGTGCTAACGCACTTGCCTTTGGTCTGGAAGGAGAACTTGACATTGCATGCTGTGTCATGTTAGTGCTCAACGCTGAGGACGCGGTTGGCGGCCAGAACTCAGGTCCTATTTCGTCTCCTGGCACTGCGTGATTTTGGTTTGAACAGTCGTAGCCAGCCAGGCTAAGGCGTTCTTGGATCATGTCGGTCCTGGCGTTGCGCGCTGCTAGGCGTCGTGCAGCCGCGGCAATGTCCTTATCTCCCGGTGGAGAAGCTACAGGCGTAGTGTTGTTTGGGATGGCGGGAGAAGCCTTCTCAAAGATTGGGTAACGCGGCATTCGCGTGATCGTCCCGCCACCAGGTGTCGGGGCACGCGTGGGAGGCTGGGGACTGCCTTGCAGACTCCTCGGAGGCATGTCCTCCCCAGACGTAATGAAATGCGGGTCGGATGACAGCTGTTGTGCTCGCTCGGTTCGTTCCGCTGTGGTGCTGCTCGATTGCTGCATCTGACTCGAACTGAACGTGGCTGCACCACCCAAAAACATGTGCTTTTGCGTCGGCCTTAGGCGTGACGGCGCACTGGGAGCCCGCCCTTGTTGCAAACTAGGTTGGCGGATAGGACTGCTTGGCGAGAAGGCGCGGGAACTTGGCGAGAGGACACGGGAACTGCTGCCCTGCGAGGAGGACTGCACTCCCCGTAATTTCGAGTTCGGGCTCAATCTGCGACTACCTCCCTGTGGACGATCCGGAGACACGGAACCTTTTCGCAGAGGACTGATTGGCCGACTGTTGGCCGGCGAGGCCGCTGCAAAATCTTTCGCGGCTTGTTGCGGATGCCGCTGCTGTCGAGCGTGGTGGCGCTCCATCCGACTGTTCGAGTCGTCACGGATAACTTTGGTTGAAAACGTATCTACTTTGTTCATCTGTATCGCAGCGTCTTTGCTGTAACTCTCTCTCCACGCTGCTCCCTTCATCTCTCTGCGACAATTCGACGCTTGCACCCTTGGAGAGTCCATTGTTTCTACCGCATGATGATCCACTATATCATTGCTCCTTCCACCACTAGAAAAAGGAAGCTTCTCCTTGTTTGCACGCTGTAGCTCATCATTACCTTCTTGTGCTGAACGCATCGTCCCGAAAGCGCTCGCAAGGAAATTATCACCCTTCGGCACAGATTGAGCGGTATCTCTTTGGCAATCGCTATCGCTTCCGCGGATGTCCACCACGTCGCTTTCAAATGCGGATGTCGGGCCGCCACCTGGTGTGGCCTCGAGAGGGCTTCCTCGTGCATCCGTAGAAGTTGTACACATGAAAGCGCTCTCAGGTTGGACTCCGCCTGCGCCGTAGGCTCGATGCGGGGCAGGAAGACCACTAGCTGTGGGTGTAAGAAGGGCTGTTGCTGTCGATCGTGCAGTGGAACTTGCTGAAATGGTTCTCTCAGCTGACAAGATCGCCGATGCCTTGCCTTGTCCAAGTGGTCCCAACCGCCGTGCAGCTCCAGCTTTTGGGCTCCCCAAGATATTTTGCGGAGGAACCTTGGGACCTTGCGGCGAAAGGCCACTACCTTTGTTTGGCGCGGGACCACTTGCACTCTCCTTGTTTATTGAGATTGCATCTTTAGGTGAGGAACTCAATCCCCGCTTGTCTTTGTTACCTGATGATGCAACTGCTTTCGCATGTGCTGCCACGACATTCCCTTGTTTCGACGCGGTCCCTTTCGACGAAGACGTGTTAACGATGTGGAGTTTACTCCCGTGATCTTGATTTTTGACATCTTCCGCAATCTCCGCTTGCCGATCTGCAGCCTCCGCATCCGAACTACCTATCCACGACAACGTCCCGTCTTCGGACCTCTCTCCTGAGTAGAAGATTGCGCTCCCTAGTGCTCTTGTATCATTACTTGCCACTCGTGTCACTTTCACACCCAAGGATGGCCGCTTTAGGCCATTATCAGGAGAGGGACTCAGCGTCAACATTAGAAGAGCGTCTATCTTTCAACGCTGAAATTATATCGTTGTCTTGTTCATCAAAAGTCAACTTAGTTTTTAGAAGTGGTCGAAAGAAGTTGTACAAGGATATCACATGACTTGATGGTCGACCTTGGAAGAAAATCAGGACTCAAATAAGAAGTTGGAAAGATGACTTCATAGCTTTTCTACTTCCGCAGTCACATTCCGCTCCGACCACGACGCCCCTTGTGAATAGCTTCCCGCCAACCGCTTGAGGCGTCCGAAGTCTTGGCGCAAACTCGCGAGCTCCGCCGCAATATTTGCGGACGCGCTTGCCGGTCTGCTGGACGTGGACCCACTGAGGCTTTCGGCGGGAAGTGCGACGTCCACTCGCTTTTTCAGAGTTGGTGATATCCATGGCTCGGCCTCAGATACACTCTGCGACGCAGGATAACAGCTTTGTCTATTCTCTTTCTTGCTTGCAATCGCATCGGTCGAACTAGACGCAGTCGACGCTTGCACTGCGCCGCCTGAAGGTGGATGTTGGTCTCCTAAGTCGTATCCCCTCGTCCCTGGTGGCAAAGTCTCCTCTTCTGCACCGCTTAGCGCAGGAAGTTCTGCATTAGATGAAGCGACTGAGTTCGAGCTAGAATGAGGTGCGCGTAAACGCTCGAACCGTAGAGACGAACCTCCCAAAGTGCTGCTCTCGAGCCCTCGTCCACCTGTGGCGCTGTTAGTCGCGACAGTAGCGGATTGGCGCCGTTGGTTGGGCGAGGATAGCTTTGACGAGGACTGGAAGCCAGGAAGAGCTGAGCCTGCAAACTGCACTTCATCAAACGCCGTCGACATCCTCAATCTAGAAGACGAACAATAAATACTTGCTACTCGTCGGTCCCATCATGATAAGAAAAAGTCGAAGTTGTAAGTATCACCTGGTACTACAGAGTTTAAGTATATTAGCCTGCATTGTGCATGTTTAAGAATCAAAACAAGTGTCAAAGTCTAACGTCGTGTGTCCGACTGATCGTCTATATTTCGCAGCGTCAGTCGCCGCTGCGAATAGATACAAGATGATGAATAGGTGGGGAAAAACTGATTGATCATCTGGCACTAGGCAAGGAAAAAAACTCTCAAACACAGAAAAAGGTGCAGTGACGCACATTTGCGATACATCCTTGCTTATCGTTCAAATGGATTTCTCACAGAAGCATACTCAATTGCGTAAACAATTTTAACATCGAAACATTCTACTTGTACTTCATTTCGTTACCAATGGAATGCTTTTATCAACGGTAGAGCAGAGGGTGACACTATCTTCTCGTGGTGTCTGTTCCTTCGCGAATATGCTACACAAGGCAGGAAAGATTCTCTTTAGCCCCCTGGAGGATCCACCTGTACTCTTACTTCCTGTTTCGGGTAATTTCCTGTTTTTCGTTCGGTGTTCAATATCCGCTCTGCTTGCCATTACTTCCGAAATCCGCCTCCGGTCATGCTGAACAAAGTAACGTCGGTCGTCTACGATTTTCGCGCCATTGTTCACATTCCCGCTGATATCTGGCGTTACTTTCTCTGCAAGAAAACTGTCATGGCTCTGATGACGATCTACTTCGCGGGCATTTGGTGACGATGTTCTGCATGATACACTAGCAGATGGTTGTAGTTCTACATCATGGCCTTCATCACTGTCATCAGCTTCGTCACTGGTATTGCTCACACCTTCATCTTCTGAAGATGCCGACTCTCTGAATTCGCATCTGGGCCATACAGCTTTCCCTGCTGCGGACCCGAGATGATGTTCATGTTCCTTGGTGTAATTAGGGTTATCTCTAAACCCCGTCCCGTTGTAGTTGGTGCTTCCGGAACCCGGTGCCCTCTCGTCCCGATCACTAGGACCCGCTTTGTTGCCTCTACTCGAGGACGAGGATGAGGGAGTACTTTTCAATTCTCCAAATACGCTGTCCAGCGAGGATTGCGCTGCTCCCGCGCCAGTGTTTTCAAGCCTGCCACTGCCGCTTGATGTTGCAGTTCCACCGCCATCACCGCCGCCTTCACTATCGTGATCGTTGGTATCTTTATTACAGCGCTGCGCAACGTCGTCTAAATGCTGTCGCCGCTGGCCCTCAGTGAACGGCATCTGCTCGAGCTCGAGCAGAAAGCGCCGCATGCGTGCGACGACCAAGTCCACACTTAGGCTGTTGTGGTCTGCATCATCCACCCAGAGAGGCTCCACCGGACGCTTCAATCGCGAAAATTGTATGAAGCAGGCACATAGTACTGAGGGCGGCAACATACTTACTAGCATTGCAGATTTTGTCATTCGTATTCTTATCGCTAACCATGAAGATGGCAGATGATAGAAATGGGGAGTTTCCCTGTCACCATAAACAGGTCCACGCCGTGTGATATGGGTACGATCTCGTCTCGCAGTCCATGAATGATCAGTGTGGGTGCTTCGATGTTCGCTACGCGATCGATGTTCGCGAATTGATCGCCCCAAAGGGTAAATCGTAGCTTGAACATAATCCGAAAGATATTAGACGAATCAAATATTGTTGTGTCAAGAGCTCGTCACGATAAGTTTTAACGGACAAGTGACGTTCCCACGCGCACTAGTACACACATAGTTCCTTCGCGTCCTGATGCCATCGTTTGTACTCCAAAAAGATGATCTTCATTTATCATGATGAAGTGAAGAAAGTTTTACAGCCATATAGATGCTGCTCATTGCCGCTTGCAAAACGACTCCGCGACACGGTTTACGGCTTGCCATGTACAGTTTTTTAGAGAAGATAGGCCCTACTTTATTGTACCGATCATGTATGTCTCACTTCTCTCGTCACGACGAGAACAGCCAGGACGCGCTGTGCAGCACACACAGCTCCCGTAGTTCATCTAGTACTATCTGGACTAGTCCAACCACATCACATTGCTCATTTTCATAACTGTGGGCCCTGTCCCAATAGAGCGTCCGAAGAGAATGATATGCTCCCACGGAATGTTGCATGTAAACCGCAAATAGTCGTAAGCGGCCTCGATGCAAGCATAGAGACCATCTTCACTAGGCTCACCCGTTGATACACCGTATCCACAGTAGTCGTAGACGAAAACGTCGTATTAGCTGAAAAGCTTCTAGTTGTTATCGATATTAAGTTCTACTAGTCCAATCAGCTTAACTACCATATAATCTATTATTAAGCTATAATTTTTCATCTTTCTAAGGTGCAAAAACTGTAACGCGCGCGCGCGTTACGCGCGCGGGTTACGCGCGCGCGCGCGTTACGCGCGCGCGTTATAACGCGTTACGCGCGCGCGCGTTACGCGCGAAATAAGGCGCGCGCGTTACATGCGCGCGGCGCGCGCGCGTAACGCGCGCGTAACGCGCGCGTAACGCGCGCGCGGGGGGGG